CACTTCATCTTAGGAACCACTTAGGAAAAGCTCCCAAGGAAGCAGTGTTAGCCAAAATGATTGGCTGTGGTGCTTGCATCTCATAGATGCAAGTGTACCAAGATGTCTGCCCACAAAACTCACTTGCTTTTAACCCTAGGAATATGTATATTCCAGTATTCCTTGTATGAAATAATTAGTAATGTCAGACATTGTTGTAACACTGTACTAAGTAGAAGTCTAGAATTAGCTTGAATGAAAGTTAACTTTCTCTGTGAATTTTGACTGCTTACATAAATTGCTGGTACCTGATAACATTTATTTTCCCTCAAGAAGTACCTTAGTAACCTTATGAAGGTAGGGAGGGTAGATGCTCTACCACACTCCTTCAGTTGTGTTATATGTGTTTCTTTTTCTTATCAATTTAGAGCTCTTCTCTGGAAAAAAGAAGAAAAGCTGTTTTGTGCCTCTCTTTTTTTTGTATGTAAATGTGCAATTATACTGGATTTTGTCTTGTGGGGGGGAAAAAACAAAACAGAAAAAACAACACTACATTTCCTTTACTTAAGCTCCTAAACTGCCACTTGCCTGATTCTGGCAATTAATTTTGAGGTAACTTATTGGGCCTCCAATAGTTCTGTTGATTAGATATGGTCCCAAAAGAAAGAGCAAAATGGAAAATGCTATACATGTTAGCGACTGTAATTGCTGCAAGTAACATGGATTACATCTCGCCAAAACACTAACCTTTGCTCTTGAACAATTATATAGCTTGATGTCCTTTTAAAAAATAATTTAAGAAAATCTAGGTTTTATCATACTAAAACTTTATTTTATATATATATATGATAAATGTTTGCTTTTCTAAACTTACTAACATGAAGGATTTCCTTTCATATTCAAAATGTAACTCTTGTTAAAACAATATCCAACATGAAATCTTATCTCCTTAGTGCTATTTGATATCTGATGACTTTTATATGGTAAGCCAGGGTCTAGTCTATAAACACAAATACATTAGGTTTAAGTATTTTTATGCAGTTCTTCATTGTGTCACATTTTGTTTGTGTATCTATAATAGAGCTCTGCTGAGCCTTCTTAATTTGGGGGGCGGGGTGACTGATAGGATTGTTCTGACATTTCAGAAATCAGGGTAGAAAACAAAATAGCTAACCCTAGCTCTGGGTCTGTGCATGAGTGTTCTTTCATGGTCTAAAAAGTGGTTTTAGTCATGCCAGTGCCAAGGAGCTCTTCTTACACCTCCGTCGTGTTACTGTTGACTATTGAATACATGTGACGTTGCAGGTTCTGGAAGCAGAAAAAGAGTAAATTGTGCTTTAAATGTGCATAGTATACATGCACTGTGCTTGTCTGTGCTTCCCCAATGAAATACTCCAAACACACATTGCTCACTCAGTCTGAGGTGGTATTTGTTAACTTTTAACTGTATGTGGTCAGAGCAGACATGGTTGGTTTTTATTATTGTCCAAAATGAAATAACTTAAAGCAGCTTGGGAAAATGGTGGTATTTTTTTTAACCTCATATTAATTCTTGGGAGGAAGAAGTGAATATAAGGTTTTTTATAATCATAAAGCATCGGAAATTGGATCTGTTAACAACTAAAGATGAAATCCTGATAAAAATTCCAGGCGCTGTGCAGTGAGAGAGGGGCTGGGCCATGGCCGCATGAGACAGCAGGAGCGGCCTGTAGTGGCTGAGAAGGCTGAAGCAGCCCGAGGACACGAGTCACTTCTTCAGTGTTTAATCAGGGCTAGAATTAGGGGTGAGGTGGGGTTTCCTTCCTGTTTGTTTTAACAAGCTCCCATTCTATCTTAATTCTCAAAAATAATCTGGCCTAAGTTATAGAATAGGCTTACTTTTAGAATCATCGAAACTTGTATGTTCAAGGCAGGAACATATCTCAAAACTAAAATAATAATAATAATAATAATAATAATGGGGGCAGGTAAGACTGCTCCAGTTCCCTTCTGCCATTCCCAAGTATTTGTAAATAATGTTGTGCAATTCTGAGGTAATCATGTAAAGGACTCTGAGACAGGGCAGGTTGTTGGGCAACTCTTTCCTGGTTCATGAAGTAGGGCCTCCTTTTGGAGTCGTTTGTTGCATGGTATGTGTTCCAATCAGAGTCCAACCAGATCTGCAGTTTGGAAACAGATACATAGGCCAGCTGTACAGAATGTAATCTCTGGACTACCCAGCATTTATTGCTTGTCTTTTGTTTCATTTTTAAACACAAAGCTTCCTTTAACGTTCACCTTAAAGTCAAGGTGCTGCCGCGTGCTGTGTCCCAGCAGGATAAGAACACAGTCACGGCTTGGGAAGCTACGTGTGACGTGCTTGTCCGTGAGGTACGATGATCCTGGGAAGCGGCTCCATGGGCAGTGCAGTTAGACTTGTCGTCCTTCCTACAAGGCTGATGTATCTAGCCACCCCCAAATTGTCCAAGTTGCTGCAGACACGAAATGATCATTTGGAGTAATGTCCTTTGACCTAGGGCCACATAGAACTGGTCTGTGGTTATTTGTCAACAAAGAAGAGAACTTTCTCCCATTTTCAGATTAGCGAGGGCATAGATATAATTAGACAGCTTTGTCATGTATTGACAAATATTGAAAAGTTGGAAATTTGTATATACTGAAATCTACCAACTTTTACCTGGGGTGGGGCACAGGGAGAAAAGGGGGTGGGAGAGTAGGGTAAGGGAGGGGGGCAATGATGTTTACCACAGGTGCGAAGTAGTCACTTTAACTTTGAGACCTCTGCCTCATGAATTCAGGTTTTTTAAGTACTTGAAATTCTTCAGATTCTCCTTATGTTAACAGTTATTTTAAAATTTATGAAGTAGAAAGCATTGTTTTATATACTGTTTTGAAAATAGCCTAGTCTCTTCTCTTTCACTCGGATTAAAGGTGAAGTTCTGCAAGTGGGAGAGCGTGTTCACAGTAGGTTTCTCAGATCTAATGTACACATCTGAGGGAGAGACTCCTGCACGGGACGCCAGCAGCATTTTGATGAATATTTCCTATGTATGTTCTTTATCATTTTGTCAACCTAAGCACCTCTTATTTCTTTCTAATGTATGCCTGCCTGGGAAGGGGGGGGGGGAATTTGCACTTATGTTACACTCTTGAAATGCTGGGTGTAACCTGTGTGTTTAAAAACCATTTCCATTCTTTTTTTTGTCAGTCCATTGCTTAAGTGACCAGTTAGGTGCTGTGGCACATACGTATGAAGGGGGAAGAGAGAGTTACCTGTTTTTTGGTAGCCTCTGAAAGTCATTAACATGTAATAAAAGGGAAAAGATGAGTAGTTGCCAAAGTCATTTATTCAGTCCTTAGTTTTCTTATGTGACGTTACTGTATCTGCATATTGGTAAGAAGCACCCTCAGGTTCTAGTACTCCCTTCCCTGCCCACCAGACTTCTGATATGCGTGAATGCAGATTATCTGGATTAGGTATTGATAAGGTATTCTTGTCAGTTTGGAAGTGGACTGGATAAAATTTGTTTATATCTCTCCCTTTATTTCATTTATGCTGTCACATACCCTATGTTAAAAAAGAAAATCATTATTGCCACAGACAACCAAGTTGCTAAATGATGATTACAACTGGCTAATAATAAGATTCTTTTTATATACAAGGGTGTGTGCAAATTTGAATTGATATGAGAAATTCATTTTTACCCACTTGAGATATTGCACAAACACAGATACCTACAGATTCTGTTTTCATTTCCTTGTGATCTTTATCTATGATAACAACCTTTGTAGATTGGTTATTTCTGTACTTTATCTGTAATAAACTTTGTAGATCCTGTGAAATGTTATTTTACCTAAATCACTTGAGACTTGAGTCTTTAATAACAAAGCACCAATATTCACTAAAGTCGATCTCTTTTGAGTTTCTGTGACTTGGCTAGAAGCTCGACACTAAAGGATTAGTGACCATTTTTCCTGGGGGTGTTCCACTAGGGCATTACTGTATACCGACTTGATGTTGCCACACAGACTTCAAGATATATATTTTGGGGATTTTGTTGATTGGCCTATGTTTTATTGCATAGTGTGGAGTGTGAAAAGCTTGGTTAACCTGTATATAGATAGCTTATTGTTGACTCGTTATCGTGTATTTAGGATTGCCTGTAATATTTAAGCTGCTTACTGCTGTCTGTGCTGGTAGGAATATACGATTTTTGTATATTTACTGAGATGTTGCCTTTTTTATTTTATAAATACTTTGGAATTCAAATGTGGTTTGTTTTGTTGGGGGTTTTTTGCTTCCATGAGGATTAATTTGGAAAGGTTTTTAATGACATTCCACTGATTTCAGATTTTGCTTGAGATTGACTTCAATAAATTGTCCTGTATGTTCCAAATTAAATATGTGGACTTGTTCATTGCCTGTGGTTTCTTGCTATAAGTCACTGGGCCAGAGGCCTTCCTGGGAGGGAGGGGACTGGCTGCGGTGCCGCCCCACCCAGTGTGCCAACTCTCAGTCCGCAAGGCCTGCAGCACAGCAAGTCCTGTGTGCGAGCTAAATACATCTTCCTTCAAAATGCAACGCTGCTAATAAACTGGGACCCGGAAATGCAGAGGTTTTGTGTTCGTGGAGGAAAGGTCCTTGGAAAATGGTGCTACGTGCTTTGGTATCCTCTGAGAATATCCAGGCACTGGCCAGTTGGCGAAGGAAGGACATGACTGGGAGGTTGAAATCACTTTCATCCCATTGGTTTATCAGACGGGAAGGTAGCCTGCGTGGCAGGACACTGGGAACTAGCTCCTTGCCGAATGTACCGGAGAGCAGCACTGCTTGCTTTCCATCCCTTTTGCTAGGTGATCTGCTGCCGCTCCTTCCTGGACGGCACCTGGCCCGTCAGCCCGGCTGAGGAGGCTGAGCGCCTCCCCTGCATGCAGTTCACCGAGTGCCCGCCAGGGGGCGCCGACAGCCGCTGACACCCGGCCTCCGGGGCGGCCCCGCGTCCTCGCTGCAGCGGCTGCCACGTCAGCGCGCGTCCGGGCTGAGCGGCGGCATGGCTCGGATGAGGAAGGCAGCGGCGGCCTTCGGGGCCGAACTGGGCGTGCGGATCGCACTGTTCACGGCCTTCCTGTAAGCGGCTTACGGATCGGACTCCAGGGCCCGACACCCTCTTGCATGGACCGGGTGGGAGGGGCCCCGCAGCGCTGCAGGCTCTTCCGAGGTCGCGGGGAGCCGGAGGGAAGCAGACCAACGTGCTCTGCACTTTTTTGTTTCCCTTCAGGGTAACAGAGCTTCTCCCTCCCTTCCAGAGGCTTATCCAGCCCGAGGAGATGTGGCTGTACCGGAATCCGTATGTGGAAGCAGAGTATTTCCCTACCAAGTCGATGTTTGTGCGTGGAGAACGAGCCCTTCCTCCTGCCCCTGGGGACTGCTTACTGGGCTTTAACGCTGGGAAGCCAAAGCGGTCATTCTGGCTCCGAAATGGGCTTTGTGGGAAGCTTATTACTCGCTTTGTTAATGTGCTAAGATGTTGCTTCCTAATGTTTAAGAGTCAGGTTTAGGGCGCCCTCCCCAGTGCGTCTGTGAGCGCAGTGCCGAGGGTGTGGGGCCATTAGAGAGGCTGGACCTACTGGAGCACCGCCCCTCGGGGTTCCTTAACCCAGACACTGAGTTTGTCTTTCCTGGGAAGCGGTTGGGTCTGACATGAGTTCTGTAACTTCCATCCCTCTGCCTGTGGGACAGCGGTTCTCAACCTGTGGGTCGCGACCCCTTTGGGGGTTGAACGACCCTTTCACAGGGGTCGCCTAAATACATCCTGCATATCAGATATTTACATTACGATTCATAACAGTAGCAAAATTAGTTATGAAGTAGCAAGAAAATAATTTTATGGTTGGGGGTCACCACAACATGAACTGTATTAAAGAGTCGCGGCATTAGGAAGGTTGAGAACCAATGTGTGTGGGAGCTCCTTCACCAACTGGTTTTGTGGTTTTGTTTGATTGTTAACCTTTGACATGTTCTGGTTCAGGTCATTGCATTTCTCTTTCCACTGTCTCTGATCCTCCTGGCCAAATGTCTCAAGAAGGCGGACACAACGGACAGCAAACAAGCCTGCCTGGGTAAGAGCTAACCCTTTCTAGCTGGTGTCTTGCTTTAGTGCTGAAATGGGAAGGCAGGGCGTGGCCTCAGTGTGTGGAAGCCACCGAGTTCTACATTCCTGAAGTACTTGTATCTGCCCTGGACCCCACTTGTTACCCTGGGAGACAGAGAAATAGCACTGTAAGAACTTTGAACCTCACAGGTGTGCCTGCATGCCCTGGGTCATGTGTGCCTCAGAAATGGCTTCAGCCTGCACAGAAGTTCTCCCTGTGCCACACTGAGCAGCCAATTGTTGAGGGCCAGAATCATGTTGTTGTTGTTAATCCTCACCTGAGGATATTTTTTCCATTGATTTTTCAGAGAGAGTCAAAGGGAAGGGGAGAGAGAGAAACATTGATGTGACAGAGACACATCGATTGGTTGCCTCCGGCACACGTCCCAACAGAGGCCAGGGATTGAACTTGCAACAACCAGGGTATGTTGAACCGAGACCCTTTGGAGCGCGGCTGGCATTCACCACTGTATAGTCAGCTTGAGCCCGACCATTCCTCTAACTCAGAAAGGCCATGTCTGTTGTCACTGAGACAGTGACCATGCAATTCCTTCGAAGTGGATGCCACTAACGATAGGTTTGTCTTCCAGCTGCCAGCCTTGCCCTGGTTCTGAATGGTGTCTTTACCAACACAATAAAGCTGATAGTGGGGAGGTAAGTAAGTGACAAGAGGGAGCCACCAGTGCCTGCCTCGGCCTTCCCGCGGCAGGAGAGATGGTTGATGGCACTCCGGCACACATCTTTCTCCTTATCCTTCTCTTCTTTATTCTCAGCCTGTTCTTGCTCCCTTCCCTGCCCCTCAGTCCTGCGGGTGACACTGGGCTCTTTTCGGTCCCAAACAGCATTTCCCATTGACACCCACAGCAGTGTTCAGTGTCCTCTAGAGTACCCCCTGAAGCTGCACTTGCTGTGACTTGCTCTTTGCCCTAAAAGGTAACCATGTGCCAAAATAATACCTGTGCTGGCTTGGTTCCCCCACCCCCCAAATTAAACACTGACCCTGGAAATAAGGCTTTTCTCTAGTGGTGACTATACTAATCCAATCTCATGATTTTGCCTGGGACACTATTTAACCAACAGTTAACAGGATTATGGATATCTGATACACTAAAATATAATTTCTGGAGTTGTGACCAGAAATGACATCTGCTCATTTCTTCCAGGCCACGCCCGGACTTCTTCTACCGCTGCTTCCCTGATGGGCAAGCCCATTCTGACTTGACGTGCACGGGAGATGAGGATGTGGTGAATGAGGGCCGTAAGAGCTTCCCTAGTGGACATGCTTCCTGTATGCCTACCATGCGGACTCTACTTCTGTGGTTTGGGAGATCATTGCATTTAACGTAGGAAGCTTGTGAGGATGGATACATCGTACTACTCTTGTTCTTGTATCTAGAAATTGGAAACACCCCCCCATCTTTTAAGAACCCCAAGATTTCACAAGCCTGAGCCTCAAATATTAGGGTAAATATTCAAGAATAGGGGAGGTAGTTTACCTTCATGAGATTTGAACATTTTATTACTATTACTATTGTATTATTTGTTAGATCTTACCATCTGGTACTAGTCATAGAAATATTAACTAACCTTTGACACTATGTGTCAGGTGTTTTGAAAAGCACTTTATTTTTTAAAATATGTTTTTATTGATTTCAGAGAGGAAGGGAAGGAGAGAGAGAAACATCAATGATGAGAGAGAAACATCAAGTGGCTGCCTCCTGCACACCCCACAATGGAGATCAAGCCCACAACCCGGGCATGTGCCCCAACCAGGAATCGAACCGTGACCTCCTGATTCATAGGTTGACTCTCAATCACTGAGCCACACCAGCTAGTGGAAAGCATTTTAGATTCTACCTCATTTGACACTCTACTAGCCCAATGAAGTGGGTACTATTATTTTTACGATTCCCATTTATACATGAGAAAACTAAGGCATTGAGAAGTAAAGTAACCTGCCCAAAGTCATACACCCAGTACTCCAAAAACTATTAGGATAAATATTAATTTTGGATCACAAAATAAAGTGTTTAATTTTTCCTTTAGTTTCCCTCTCCCTCATAATCAGTGTTCTACTCCAGAAATATATATTAAAAAAAAAAGGGATAAAATATGTTCATGTCCCCTGGCCTCCTCCTTGCAGATTAGTGAGTAGCTTCCTTTAAAACATACACTTACAGGTCTTCCCTCTTCTAGTTGCATTTGCTGGGCTGGCCTTTGCTTCCTTCTACCTGGCAGGGAAGTTACACTGCTTCACACCACAGGGCCGTGGAAAATCTTGGAGGTTCTGTGCCTTTCTGTCACCTCTTCTTCTAGCAACTGTGATTGCACTGTCCCGCACCTGTGACTACAAGCATCACTGGCAAGGTAAGCAAGGTCTTAATGCCATGGAAGCTTTCATGTATCTATCACTCATCATTTTATCTCCAGCACCTGGCACAGAGGAGACGCTCACTAAGAGTCTGTTGAATGAATAAACCAGTGAGTATGGGATGGTCTGGGGCTATACTAAGAGAACGCATTTATAACTACATGAAAGATGAGAAAGGAGACTGGACCTTTTAAAGAGATAACCAAGAATTAATGTCCTAATTTTTCCATTATTTTGAGGCATCATAAATTTAGAATAAACTATAAGATATGTTTTACAACAAACCTCAAAGCTCAAATTTATTTACTGTCTTAAAATAAAAATCAAGTTGTCATGAGATCTTGTTCAGAAATGAAACTAAAATTCAATGAACGTAAACTAATTTTTTTAAAGGAGAGATGACTCCTGAAGAGTTATTCCTTCCTCTAGAATGCTTTAAGTGGTGAAAACAAGGAAAACTGTTAATAGCATGAAGTGAACCTTTGTTATTCTTCTGAATTTAAAAAAAAAATCAATCTAATGTACTTGAAAAAGGCTTCTTATACTTAACTAAAAATGTGTTTTGCTTTGGTGCTTAGAGAACAATCTGATAATCCTATAAACTTTATGGTCAAACTGAGAAAGCCCTAAACCTGGGTTTTGGCAGCCCAAACAATGAGAATAACCTGGAGGGCCAAGTTCTCTATACTGTGTGCTGTCTGACATGATTGAAGAGACTAATACAGTGGTTCTCAAGCTTCCTAATGCCACAACCCTTTAATACAGTTCCTCATGTTGTGGTGACCCCCCAACCATAAAATTATTTTTGTTGCTACTTCATAACTGTAACTTTGCTACTGTTATGAATCGTAATGTAAATATCTGATATGCAGGATGTATTTTCATTGTTACAAATTGAACATAATTAAAGCATAGTGATTAATCACAAAAACAATATGTAATTATATATGTGTTTTCCGATGGTCTTAGGCGACCCCTGTGAAAGGGTCGTTCGACCCCCAAAGGGGTCGCGACCCACAGGTTGAGAACCGCTGGTCTAATATGATTAAGAGAAGACTTCATCTCCTCTCTCTTCAGATGTTCTAACTGGATCCGTGATTGGCCTGACATTTGCCTATGTCTGCTACCGGCAGTATTACCCTCCTCTGACTGATGCAGAATGCCATAAACCATTTCACAACACACTTGTACTTCCCACTGCACAAAAGAATTCTATGGATCCTTATCATCTTGATATTTAGAAACTAGAGCTACCTCAATGGAGAAGAATAGGTGAATCAGCCCCTCCTCTCTGGACCATGGGAAGACAAGAATTTCCTACCTTTTGACCTGTTAAAAGATACAAGTGAGGACATCAGCATTTCATTCTGTTCCATATAATTATGCAGTTTTTCCCCTGCTCACATGAATTCATGAGGAGTCACAAGGTTCCTTTTCACTACTGTATGCCATGCATTCTCATAAGAGATCAATAATACTCCAACAGCGTACGAATCTGTTTCATAAGCTTGGTATCCCAAGGTCTACAGAGGTGTTTCTCCATATAATGCCTTTGTTGTTGTTGTTGTTAATCCTCACCCAAGGATATTTTTTCCATTGATTTTGAGAGAGAGTGGGAGGGAGGGGGAGAGACAGAGGGAGAGAAACATAGATTGGTTGCCTCCCACACACACTCCAACCCTGAGGATTGAGTCTCCAACTGAGGTACATGCCCTTGACTGGAATCAAACCCGAGATCCTTCAGTCCATAGGCTGACACTCTATCTACTGAGCCAAACCGGCTAGGGCATAAATGCCTCCCTTAGAAGGATCTTGTCACAAGGAAGCCTTTACATAGCCCTACTTTATCCTAAAAGCTAGAGTCAATTCTCAAAACTTCATTTCCTATACCTCAAAATCTTAAAATTTAGGGCATGACCAACTACATTATTTTAGTTCCGTTTACTTTCTCTGGTGACAGTTCCATCAAGCCTTAACTAGGGGAGTATCCGTTTCTGGCTGGTTTACCACTGCTTTGCATATCTTATCCAAGTCCAGCTAGATAGTGCTGTCTATTTTAATACTGTGGACATAAATGATTTGTCAAATTACTAAGTAAACACAATAAAAAAGAAAATGGTTAGGAGTGTGGTTTCAGTGCTAATAACTGATGACTGTTTCTACCTCATTTGTCGTTAACTGTTCATGAGCTTCTTTCTCTCCCTTCATGACCGAAGATCTTCCCAAATGCATCAACTTTGCCAACTGGCTAAGGCAGGAAAGAAAAATAACAGAGATCATTATCTGAAGGACAAATCTTTTTCTGTCCCTCTTCATAATGAACTAAAAGGAACAATTACAGGATATCATTAGAATGGATGCTCTAGTACCTACAACTAACTTTCTCTATTGAGGTTATATGTTAAACTAGAGGCCCGGTGCACAAAAATTTGTGCACTCGGGGTGGGGGGGGGGTCCCTCAGCCCGCCCTGTGCCCTCTGACAGCCCGGGAGCCCTCGGGGGATGTCCACTTGCCAGTGGGGAGCAGGCCTAAGCTGCAGTTGGACATCCTTAGTGCTGCTGAGGTGGGAGAGGCTCCCAGCACCACCACTGTACTGGCAGCCGTCAGCCTGGCTTGTGGCTGAGCAGAGCTCCCCCTGTGGGAGCGCACTGACCACCAGGGGGCAGCTCCTACATTGAGCGTCTGCCCCCTGGTGGTCAGTGTGTGTCATAGTGACCAATCATTCCCAGTTGTTCTGTTAGGGTCAATTTGCATATTACCCTTTTATTATATAGGATAGAGGCCTGGTTCATGGGTGGGGCCGGCTGGTTTGCCCTGAAGGGTGTCCTGGATCAGGGTGGGGGTCCCGCTGGGGTGCCTGGCCAGCCTGGGTGAGGGGCTGAGGGCCATTTTCAGACTGGCCACACCCCCTTCAGGGTGGAGGTCCCCGCTGGGGTGCCTGGCCAGCCTGGGTGAGGGGCTGATGGCTCTTTGCAGGCTGGCCAAGCCCCCCAGCGGGGACCCTCACCCCATGAGGGTGTGGCCATCCTGGGTGAGGGGCTGATGGCTGTTTGCAGGCTGGCCACGGCCCCCAGCCACCCAAGCTCCCAGTGGAGGCTGGCTGGAAGCAGGTATCTGGGATTTATTTATCTTCTATAATTAAAACTTTGTTGCCTTGAGCAGAGGCCACAGCCAGTCAGGGCAGGCGGGAAGCTTGGCTTCTTCCATTGCTGGGGCAACCAAGCCTCCTGCTTGCTCCAGCTCCGTGGCTGCGGCCGCCATCTTGGCTGGGTTAATTTGCATATAGTCGTTCTGATTGGCTGGTGGGCGTGGTTTGGGTGTAGCGGAGGTGCGGTCAATTTGCATGTTTCTCTTATTATATTAGATATGACCTTGTCTTATATATTAATTTCTATAACATATTTTCAGTGTATCTTTTCCCTTTAGTAAATGTGATACTCAAATAAAATGGTGAATGTGTGTTTTTGTACTTAAGTGTAGCGTTTGAGAGCTGGAACATTTTCAGAGTAAAGCACTGGTTTCCCCTTCTGACATAAGTAATTCAACTACAGTAGTGGCCGATTTCTGTAAACTTCAAAGGACAGTCTCAGTATTTGCCTTTAAACCGCCATGCTATAAACTCTAAACTGTATCTGCCTATGACAATGAAAACACCAGGCAAGGGAAAAGAACTTAAATATTAGCTTTTTGCTCAAAAGTTTTATTTTTTAAATGTGTTTAGCAATCCACAGGGGAAGAGAAAATGGTTATTATACAGAATTTCTTTATGGTGAATGAACCAGGTAATGGTAGGCAACGGGTCAATATGGTTTTATTTCAGTATTTACTCGAGTTTTAAATATAATCATGTAAAAAACAGACATTTCAAAAAGTGCAAAATATTACAAAGCTAATCAGTGCTATTAATCTTTCCATGCAAACAATACCAATTCTGGAGTTGAGACTATGTATAAAATGGTACTCTACCAGAGTTTTAAAATAGGCTTGGTCAAGAGATTGCACATGACACAACAGAAATAGTGCAAATAATACACAACTAAAATCCCTCCCATTGAGGTGCCAACAATAATCAAGGCTCAACTACAGGAGGTATGCAGCCCACACAGGGGATGCACCTGGAGTGCCCAGCTTGGGTGATCGAGGAGGCTATGCCACTGGACACTATAGGAAACCCACTGCATTAGGCCACTCTACAAAGCCTGAGAGATGTAGCAGCTCTACTTAATACATAGAAACAAACACAGGGAAACTATCAAAATGAGGAGACAAAGAAATGTCCCAAATGAAAGAACGAAACTCCAGAAAAAGAACTAAACAAAATGGAAACAAGAAATCTAGATGCAGAGTTCAAAACACTGATTATAAGGATGCTCAACTAACTTAGAACTTCAGCAGCATGAAAAACGACATGGAAACCATAAAAAAAGAACCAGTCAGAAATGAAGGATATACTAACTGAAATGAAGAATAATTTACAGGGAATCAACAATAGAGTAGAAAAAGCTAAGAATCAAATCAGCAATTTGGACTATAAGGAAGCAAAAAACACCCGATCAGAACAGCAAAATAATAATCCAAAAAAATGAAAACAGTGTAAGGAGCTCTGGGACAACTTCAAGCATACCAACAGTCACGTCATGGGGTGGCCAGAGGAGAAGAGAGCAAGAAATTGAAAATCTGTTTGAAAAAAATGACAGAAAACCCCTAACCTGGTAAAGGAAATAGACACGCAAATCCAGGAAGTGCAGAGAGTTCCAAACAAGATGGACCCCAAAAGACCCACACCAAGCACATCATAATTAAAAAGCAAAAGGTTAAAAACAATCTTAAAAGCAGCAAGAGAAAAACAGTTACCTACAAGGGAGCTCCCATAAAACTGTCAGCTGATTTCTCAACAGAAACTTTGCAAGCCAGAAGGGATTGGCAAGAAATATTCAAAGTGATGATCATATAAAGAAGCACTCTCCAGGCAAGAAAAAGCTAAAGAAGTTAGTCACCACCAAACTAGTATTACATGAAATGGTAAAGGGTCTTCTGGGGGGGGGGGGGGGGGGGGGGGCCCAAAAATTGAACAATAAAATGGCAATAATACTTAACCTATCGACACTTGAATCTAAAAAAAAACAAAATAAACGAACAAACAGAACAGAAACAGACTCATAAATACAGAGAACATTTTAATGGTTGCCAGATGGGAGGGGGGTTGAAGGGATTAACAAGTATAAATTGGTAGTTATAGAACAGTCATGGGGATATAAAGTACAGCATAGGGAATATAGTTAATAATAGTCTGATAACTATGTATGGTGTCCTATGGATACGAGATTTATCAGGATGGTCACTTAGTAAACTACAGAATGTCTAACCACTGGGTTGTACACCTGAAACTATTGTATGTCAACTAATTAAAAAAATGATTAACAAGATATACAACTAAATAAAGGACTTAAATCAAGCTTATTGGGGTTCCCAGGTTGAGGAATCGGAATCCTTTCATGGGCCAGCATGCCAGGGCCCCCAAGTTCCAAGACCTGGCCCTATGAAATCTCTTCATCTGGCTGTTAATTGAACAAGAAATAAGCATATCTGATCTTTCTGGAGATTTGGGGAAGTTGCAAAAAATACAAAGAAGAAAAATGGTCATGTTAATAAGACCCGAGGCTTCGTACCTAAGGCTGCTGCTGACCAGAACTAATCGTCTTTAGGGCTTATGATTAAGGCAGTGGACATGCAAGGAAGGAGAGAGGCAGGTCTGGATGTTCTTACGTTGACAGCTGAATGCAAAAGCAGCCAGATGGAGACGATGCACAAGGCCAGGGTGGGAAGGGATGGGGAACTTCCATGCCCTCTCCTGGCGCACCACTCCCTGCACTGCACCTCCACGTGTTCACCAACCCAGCAGTTCTCCGAATCGAGTGAAACTTGCTATGTTAGGTGTTATTTAAGAGTATATTTGACATCCATATGGTCATCAGTTTTTAATGTTTCACTGTTATTTACAGCCAGAAAGGCATCCATTGCCTTACTACACTGCTTCATGATTAGAATGCTTATTTGTATTATCCTCTAGATGTTTAACTTTTAGAATAGTTTTTTTAAATGAAATATGTTCCCTAAGATGCTAGTGAATTAAAATGTAAATATGGTAACTTTGTGTAATTACAACCAGTACAGAGACTAGTACAGAGATGACTGGTTTCATATGTAGTCCTGTGAAACAATTAACCTTTACTGACAGTATAACTTCATTAAGGATATCCATTGATTCAACTACTAAGGATAGACGGAAACTAAGAGACAATTTTGCTACCCACTCAAGCTTGCCTTATTCAGCAGATGTTGAAATTGGTAGATTCTAAAAATACTTAAGAATTTCTAGCTCTAAGTTATTTGCCTTCATTACTTTTCTTTATAAAGCTATACAATTACATAAATAAATATTTGTTTCCAGAGGAAAAAACAAGCTTATTACCCTCTATAATATATAATCATGATAATACCACAGGTGGATAGACAACATATAAAGCTCTTTTACAGTTACTGCCCCACACCAGCAGGATAGAAACATTTCTTATAACAAGCAGTGGTTTATCCAGCTATCCAGAGTTATGCCGTTCATCTTTGGTTATACTCACTCTTGCTTGTCCTTTGGTTTACTCCTAAATAGTACCAATTCTGCTGATATGAAGGGCAAAAGCTTCCCCTCTAATATATATTGAATGCTACTTAATTCTCAACTCTTATCTTATTTCAAACTCAGAATTTACATACAAAGGAAATAAAGTATTCAATATTATCTGAAACTACTTAGTGGGTTAGTCATCATTAGTCTATAAAGCAGATGGGCAAAGAAAGGCCAGGCTCTGACCTATACCCCAACCTCACCTCTACCATCTCTAGATGACAGTAATTAACTTTCCCCTTCCTTTTTTCTTCAGAAAGGGATAAACACTGCTTTCCAAGGGATGGCTTAAGTGAATGTTAAATGCCAGTGCTTTCACAATACCTTGCTACCTTTATTAAAAACAAACAAACAAAAAACAGCTTGCCTGGCATGCCATTCAATGGCCTGTGGAAATCTGAGAGGAGTGTATCACAAAGAACACTGCAAAGACAATGACAAACTGACCAATGAGAAAGACAGTGGTGAGTAGATGCCTTGGAAAAAAATCAGTCACATTCACCCATTTTCTTCAAGGTACATCTCACTTTGCATGTTCTGACACTGACTCTGGAGTAGCTGTTCCTTGACTACTGCATAGCCAAACCTACCTGCTCAACCAATACTGCCTGTGCCATGAGCCTTTTAAATAAGCACTCTGGTGTATGGGTCCCTAAGTAGGCAATGATCACAAAGTGTTTTTAAAGAGGACACACAATACTACCTTCGTTCAAGTTAATATGGCAGGTGACTTACACAAATTATATTTCACCATAAATGCAAGAGTAAGATTTTACTTATTCAAGGCTGTATAATTTCAGGTTTGTCAGCCTTTATAGCTTTACCCTCAAATTAAGAACAGAAGCTACTAACAAATAATAAATCAGACTTCATCTAGATATATAACATCTTTGCTTTATAAAGGTGCACCAAATGTGAACTAAATTGTCCACTTTAGACTCTCAGAGGAATCCAAACAGCTGGAAAAACAATGAACAGCATAGCATCAGTGATTCCTAACAATAAACCTGTCACTCAGCTGTAGAGAGTAAGTAATAATTTCTTCAAGTTACATTTTAGTCTGTCTTCATACAGAATTCATAGAAAAGAAAAGATAGCTCAACAGAATTTGACTGCCCAACAGTCTTTTCCATATCCATTTAGACGTAGCCTTCAATGCAGAGAACACTAGTGAGAGAAGAATGTACCCCAATTACCTGCTGAATTTCAACAGTGTGCTTCCAAACTAAAACATTTCCTAGAAAAATTTTTACCAACCCAAAACAAATCAAACTCAAAGCAGATTTACTACCATCTCACGTGATAGGCAATAAAGTCTGGTACCTATATAATGTCATCAAAGAATTAAGGACGCAAACCACCCCCAGCTATAAAGAAAGAATGGCAAGTATTTATATGAAGCCAGTGGTAAAAAATAATAGGGTGTCTTTCCTTTACTTTTCCACTCACTTCCAAAATGGAACATTATCTTCCAAAGCCCCCAATGGTGAGTGACAGGCAACATGCAAGAAATGATGCAGCTGAGGAGAGGAAAACTGCAGCAACAAACAGGTGGATTTTCTGTTGAAGGACCCCTCAATGTCCATCTAGGGAGAAAGGGGAAAAGAAGTCACCATGCAGGCACAACTGGAAGGCACCAAGGGAGAATGCCAGAACCTAATAAATACTATATATATATATATATATATATATATATATATATAATGTCTAAGTGACCGTTAGGACCCAACAACCGAAATTACCAGTCAACCAGTAGCTATGACATGCACTGACCACCAGGGGACAGACGCTCAATGCAGGAGCTGCCCCCTGGTGGTCAGTGCACTCCCACAGCCAACCTCCTGCGACCTCTCCCCCTGGCCAGCCAACCTCCCACAGTCCCTCCCCCCTGCCAGTCAGCCCCCCAATAGGCCTCAATCACCGGCCAGGCCAAGGGACCCCACTGTGCAAGAATTTGTGCACCGGGCCTCTAGTTAGATATAATACACATCTAAAAGACCGAGTAAATCTCAGGATGGGCTGTTTGTAATTAAAATTGTAACTGTTGCCATGGTAATTCTTAGATGATCAGAACTATTAAGATTCTGAGTTTGGATCCTAAAAATGACAAATATTATTGGGCCAAATCACTAGCAAAGCCCGTGTGCACACATGCACACTCACATACATACTAATCACAGCACTATACACCTTTTCCCCATGAATGTTAATCAGAGTCCCTTTAAAAATGAATAATAACTAAAACATTTCCTAGAAAAATTAGAGTTTAGTGACAGGCAACAGAAAAGTATATTTATAAAGAGCCCAACTCCTTAGTTCTTTATAACATGTTAATATGTAGGAACTATGCTATATACATGACGTTTAAAAACTTACATTAGGCAGCCATAGAAGATTCATTTTTATTGTAAAGGCTGATCAAGGAAGATACCCTGGGTTTGATAGATTTCTTTGAGGACCAGCAATACTGTATCTTCAGACTCCCTGTAAGGAGAAAAAATTATGTTGTAAAAAGAAGAAACTAACATTTATACTAGATGCTTTACATATATTAACTCAATCTATGCAACACCTTGCAAATTCATCTTTTTACTATTGCAAAAAGTCAGACTCAAAGGTTATGTAATTGGCAGTGATTTGGAAGTCTAGCATTACCGGTATGTCCAGTAATATAAAAAAAAACTAGCAGTAAATAACCAAGAACTATTCCCTTTTTAAAAAATATATTTTTTATTGATTTCAGAGAGGAAGGGGAGAGGGAGAGAGAGATAGAAACATCAATGATGAGAGAAAATCATCAATTGGCTGACTCCTGCACATCCACCACCAGGGATCGAGCCCACAACCCAGGCATGTGCCCCGACCGGGAATCAAACCGTGATCTCCTAGTTCCGTGGTCGGCAAACCACGGGTCACGAGCCACATGCGGCTCTTTGGCCCCTTGAGTGTTGGTCTTCCACAAAATACCACGTGCGGGCGCGCACGTACAGTGCAATTGAAACTTCGTGGCCCATGCGCAGAAGTCGGTATTTTGTGGAAGAGTCACGCTCAAGGGGCCAACGAGCCGCATGTGGCTCGCGAGCCGCGGTTTGCTGAGCCGCAATTTGCCAACCACTGTCCTAGTACATAGGTCAACAACACTCAGCACTCAGCCATACCAGCTAGCAAACTGTTCACCCCTGTTTGCCCTAGGAGCTGTGTCTGTAAAGATATTGCTACGACATGTCTGCTATTTTGCTGCCTATGGAGTCTTGTAGGATTTTTATGGTTTTTAGCCATTTTGAGTTTGTTTTTTATGTATGGTGTAAGTTGGTGATCTAGTTTCATTTTTTTGCATGTATCTGTCCAAATTTCCCAGCACCATTTATTAAAGAGACTGTTTTGACTCCATTGTATGCTCTTGCCTCCTTTGTCAAATATAAATTGAGCATAATGGCTTGGGTTGATTTCTGGGTTCTCTGTTCTGTTCCATTGGTCTATATGTCTGTTCTTGTGCCAGTACCAGGCAATTTTGAGAACCGTGGCTTGGTAATATAGCTTGATATCTGGTAATGTGATCCCTCCAACTTTGTTCTTTCTCAGGATTGCTGTGGCTACTCGGGGTCTTTTTTTATTCCAGATGAATTTTTGGAGCGTTTGTTCCAGATCTTTGAAATATGCCATTGGTATTTTAATAGGTATTGCATTCAATCTGTAGATTGCTTTGGGTAGTATAGACATTTTAATGATGTAGATTCTACCAATCCATGAACATGGTATGTTCTTCCATTTGTTTATGTCTTCCTCTATCTCTTTTTTCAATGTCATGAAGTTTTCCGAATACAGGTCTTTTACGTCCTTAGTTAAGTTTATTCCTAGGTATCTTAATTTTTTTGGTGCAATGGTAAATGGGATTGTTTTTTTGTTTCTCATTCTGTGAGTTCATTATTGGTGTATAAAAAGGCCATAGATTTCTGGGTGTTAATTTTGTATCCTGCTACATTGCCAAATTCATTTATTAGGTCTAGTTCTAGTAGAGTTGGAAACAGCCTAAGTGCCCATCAACAGATGAGTGAATTAAAAAACTGGTACATCTACACAATGGAATACTATGCCGCTATAAAAAAAGAAGGAACTTTTACCATTTGCAACAACATGGATGGAACTGGAGAGCATTATGCTAAGTGAAATCAGCCAGTCAGAGAAAGATAAATATCACATGATCTCACTCATATGTGGGATATAATGATCAACATAATTTGATGAACAAGAATAGATGAATCTAGAGACAAATGGTAGGGGAGGGGAGGGTTAGAGAGCAACCAAAGGACTTGGTTATGCTAATATGCATGCATACAATGGACACAGACACTGGGGTGGTGGGGGCTTGCCCAGGGTGGGAATGGCTGGGGGGTAGGGGGGATCAATTGGGGAAAAAGGAGACATATGTAAAACTTTAGACAATAAATAAATAAATAAATAAAAATATTTAGGTATATATATATATGGAAATGCAAAGGACCTTCAATAGCTAAAATAATTTCAAATAATAAAATTGGTGGACCCACATACCTGATTTCTAAAACTTATAAAGCTATAGTAATCAAGACTGTTTTACTGGCATAATGATAGATAAATAGATCAATGGGACAAAATATAGCCAAGGCAATTCAGTGGTTTCTCAATAAACTTATCAACAACTGTTGCTAGGACAATTGCAAAACAATAAACCTTAATCCTAACCTCACACCATATTATAAATTAACTCAGTCAAAATGGATCATAGACCTAACTTTAAAAGCTAAAACGATATAACTTTTACAACACAGAAGAAATCTTAAAGGCTAGATTTGGGAAATATTTCTTAAATATGTCCAGAAAGCATGAACATTAATAAATTGAATTTCATAAAAATCAAAAACTTCTGCCTTCAAAATAAAATGGAAAAACAAACCACATCCTGAGGAAAAATATACCTGTAAAGGACTTGTAACTAGAACACAGAATTCTTGCAACTTACTAAGATAATCCAACTTTTAATGGGGAAAAGATTTGAATAGATAGTTCACCAATGAAGATGTATGGATGGCAAAGACATGAAAATATGTTCAATGTCGTTATTCATTAGGAACATCAAATTAAAACTGTAATGAGGTGCCATAACAACCCATTTAGAAAGGTTGAGAGACCAATCATACCAAGTGCTGTTGAGGCTATGGAGCAACTGGAATTCTCAAACACTGCTAATGAGAATGGAAAATCCTGGCAGAAAATCAGTTTGGCAATTTCTTTAAAAATAATTTTACCCATCACTCTACTCTTAGATATTTACCTAAGAGAAGTTAAAGAATGTGTTCATACAAAATCTTGAACATAACAGTTCAGTAATAGCCAAAAACTAGAAACAACCGAACTGTCCATCAACAGGTGAATGAATGGCTAAACCAATTGTGGTACAGACATATACTACTCAGCAATAAAAAGGAGAGAACTACCAATACACACAACACAGTGAATAAAAGAAGCCATACAAAAAAAGAGTATATAGTATGATTCCATTTATATAAAAGTCATGTGCAAACTAATCTATAGTGACAGAAGCAGATCAGTGATTCCATGGAGACTATGAAACAATTAGACCAAAAACATGAAAACAAATGAAACAAAAAATACCCAACACTTACCAGTAGCATAGATGGCTTTGTAAAGCAAATAAATACTCATTGAAACTCTCAATGGGCTTCTCCTGTAGCACATAGTCAATGCGTTGGCCTCCATTCAGCATTCCCACATTGATGGGGGGGACTTCTTCTTTAACTGCCTCAGAGGTCTCTTCTGTGTTAACATCTGGATATGGAAGAACCATAATAAGATCCTAAAGCCTCCAGGCTTCCTTACCTCTACTCGGACTCCAAGTTTACTGTAAGATGAGCTACTCTCTCTTCAGAAAGCTCTCTCCCATCTTCCTTTAAAGGCTCTCAGGTCACACTGATTTTATCTAATCCCTGTTTTCTTTCTTGCACCTTTGATAGCTAATTCATTTACCTTTAGTTTATAAACGAAATGCAAGCAGGGATAAAACTCTTTAGACAGTTGAAAACTAAATAAAAAAATACAATGTTAACTGTAAAACTAAGAGGAGAGTATCCTAGCTAGTCCCCAGCCAGGGAAACAAAACTGGCCCATGAATACACAGACATTCCCCTGTAAAAGGTGCTTCAGAGAGTAGGCTCTTAACATTACCCCCATAGTTCCCAAGTTGGGGATGTTTTAATAAAGTCTCATTATCAATGCTTGGCTTCTCTTGACATTCTTCTTCACAAATAATGTTCTTCCATAATTTGTGGGTATTAAATGATAGAAAAGGCTAGCAGAGATGAAGGCCCATCATGACTCATAGCATGGGTCCTATACAATAAAACAGGGTCAAGTAAGAAGTCCCTCCGAGAATAAGAACTATACACCATGGAGTCCCTCGTATCAGGCCTGATGTAGGAAATCAATGTGCACAGTGTCACTGACCACTAGGCTTCTCTGAACTTGACACAGGTTCTGCTTCAGTTTCTTCTGTAGTTTCAGAAGTTTGTAAGACAGGGTCTGGAGTTCTGGTGAAAGACTTCCAGGCCATCCGCAGTGAACCTAGCAAGTTGTTCTTAAGGTCCATACTCATCCTGGTCAAGCCCTCTCTCAGTTCTGAAACACATATGAATAAAGAAAATTACATGGTTTACAATGAGTTTAGGGCCCAATACAACTAAACAAAGTGAATTAGGTCCAGTCAGTTTGCACTGACCAGAGGTCTGGAATTAGCAAGTTCTATACTCAGTCTTACCTAAGTGCATCCGCTTCCTGCCTTTATGATGTGGGATCAGCATTGGCTCAAATTCCACTCCTGGGACCACCATTGGTTCAATCCTATAGGCCACAGGATCAAACTACATAGGAAAAACAATAGCTACCTATACCTCTGCTGAAGATAGTCTGAGGAACTGCTAATGTTTATCAGGCAAGAATGATTATAAGCTCATTTTTTTAAAATGCACAGTTGTTCTGCCATATCACTTCCGAATTCATACTATTTATGTTATCTCATTACTAGAGAAGAGTACATAAAAAGTAAAACAACACAACAGAAAATTGTATGCTCTTTACCATAAACCCTAATATTCAGGTAAACCACAAGAGCTGTCCAATGCTTACAGGGTGATAAATATTGAAGAAACCTTTGCATGTTGGAAATTTATAGTTGGGATCAATTCTTTTTAGTCCTCGGACGGTAAGAAACATTCCAATGGGAGATCCAAAGGCAAAGAATATTTCTGGTTTATAGATGAGTCGAGGGTATTTTACGGATACCTGGAAGGAGAAAATAAAAGCATCACTCTTACTCTATTTTTTTTTCCTTTTTGTTAATCCTCATCTGAGGATATTTTTCCATTGCTTTTTCAGAGAGAGTGGAAGGGAGGGAGGGGGCGAAGAGGGAAGAGAGAAAAAGAAAGAAACATTTGATGTGAGAGAGATACATCGACTGGTTGACTCCTGCACCCAACTGGATTGGGTTGGGGAGCAAACCTGCAACCCAGGTACATGCCCTTGACCAGGAATTGAACCTGAGACCCTCTGTAGGCCAACGCTCTAACCATTTAGAAACACTGGCCAGGGCTAAAAGCATTTCTCAATAACAAGTTACATCTGTTCTTACCATATGAATGGCAGGCGATAAAATGAACAAAGAGAATTCGTATTGTTACCTGTCCAATGCCAACATCCAGATAGTCATTTCCAGTACCATCAGCACTACTGCAGAACTCAGATTCTTTGGGGATATTAGACATATTCAACCCTGAAGCTGATTGTGGAGCTGATGTATTAATGCCCTAAAGAATAAAAAATAGTTTTGTGGAACTATGCAGTAAAAAATATCCAAAGGATTATATAGTTTTCTACTGGTTTGAAAAAATGTGTGGCAAAGTTCTGAAATGATAGCCAGTAATTCCAAGACAAGTCTCTCAGAAAACAAGATAAAGCTGATGAAAACACAATCAAGTTGATAAAAACAAAAGTTGGCTTGAATTATGAATTGACATCCCTATTTGCTCTGAAATGATGAAAGTGGTACACAGCCATCTAGGATACCATCATGAGAGGAAACAATAGCAGAGCACTGTGGAAAAGAATGTTGAGGATTGCTAAGGAGTTCAATAAAGTGCTATACCTTTCTGATGAAAGCAAGTAGAATGTCTCTATGGGTATAGAAAATGATGCAAATACTGGGCCTTAAATAAGAACTGAGCAACCTGCTAAAAAAGTTGAAAAATAATTAACTACTAAAATACATAAAGGAATTTAGGGGCCAAACAGAATGTATTAGTAGTATTACAACATGGATAAACATTGAGTATGTTATGCTAAGAGAAAGAAGACAGTTACAATAAGGCACATATTGTGTGATTCCATTTATATGAAAATGCCCAGAATTAGAAAATCCATAAAGACAGAAAGCAGATCAGTGGTCCACAGCAGGGAGGAATAGGGAGTGACTGCTAAGGGGTATAAGGTTTCTTTTGGTGGGGAGGAGGGTAATGGAATTAGACAGTGGTAATGGTAACACAGCTCTGAATATATTAAAAACCACCGAATTGTGTATTTTTATTTATTAGAGAAAAACATCAATTTGTTGTTCCAATTATTTATGCATTCATTTACTGATTGATTCTTATACTAGTACTAGGAGCCCAGCGTGCGATTCAAAATCGCGCGGTGCTGCCCACCCTCGGGTCTGGCCCTGCCTCCCTCTCTGGCCCTTAAAGCAGCTGTGGCTGCTGCTGATCAGGCCCTCCCCCAGCGCAGGCGCGCAGAGGCCCCTGCCGCCCCGCCCCTGTCCGGTTGACCTGTTACAGCGTCCCAGTTAATTAGCATATTTCTCTGTTTTATATATATATATAATAGAAGATGTGCTCTGATGGGGGATTGAACCCACAACCTTGGTGTATTGAGACGATGCTCTAACCACCTGAGCTACCCAGTCAGGGCTAAATTGTATACTCTTCAAGGAAGAATTTTATGGTATGAGATGTAAATTATATTTCAATAAAGCGGTTATAAGACAAAAAAAGAAAAATGAAAATTGTAGCAAGAGTCTAGGGGAGATATGACTTTTTAAGCTAATAATACTGTCAAGGCATCAATAAATGTGTTTAATTTCTTGAATAGAGCCAAAAACCAATTAACAAAATTATTTAGCTCTCTAGACTTCACAAAGCAAAAGGATACAAGGATGTAAAAAATTGTTTACTGCTATAAGCTATATATATTAAGCACATACCACTGAATTTTCTCTGGTGCTAAAGTAATTTAATATCTTCTTTCTTGGTCCTAAGGGAATTCCAATTTCCTGAAGATCTTTGTCTGTACATAAAGCCTAGGCATAGAAAATCAAATATCTTTCTTATTTCTAGGTATAATAAAATCAATTAAATGCCCTGTTCTCTTAGAAGGATAAGGATTAAGTACTCTGCTATTCTTTGATTTATATTACTAGGGCTTCCTAGTAGTACATCATTAATAACTTAGAGAAGGAAATAGTATTTTATTCATAAAAAAGCCTAAAGAAGAATTTAAAATATCAATACTATAGTATCAATGCTATATTAATATAGATAACACTGTATTATTTTAAAAAATCAACAGAAGTAGGTATCTAACTTCATGACAGAAAAACTCTCCTTGATTTCCATGCTCACTTGGATGTCACATCCTGAGAAATATTATATTCCTACTCCTGGACACAAACAGTAAGAACATAAAGCAAACAGAGAGCATGAAACAGAATAACAGTCAAGACTCAGCTGATGTGCTACTCACTTGACTAGGGAAGTCTTCCTTCACCCTCCCAAACTAGATCAGTTCATCCTACTATGCATTCTTATACCACTGTGTACTTTTCCTACTTAGAACTTATCACAATTGTAATTTAATTATGTTTTCGATTACTTAATATTTGTCTTTAGCCGTAAACTATAAACACCATGAGGTTAGGGGCCATTTCTGTCTTATTCACCACGCTATCTTTAGTACTTGGTGTATCATAGTAAAGATTTACTAAATATCCACTGAATTAACATATCGAAACCAGAGTAAAAACACAACATAAGTGGCAAAAAAAAAACAAAAAACTAAACAAGCAAATATCTATAGTAGTGCTCTTGAAAGTATAACAGAAAATAAGAGTTGGAATAGTTACTGGTCATTTCTCCTTGCTCTCTTTTTTTCTGAGATGTGCTGTTTTTTAATCTTTGCTCTATTGCTATATGCATATCAATATGACTTTTCTGAACTTTAAACTCCCACAAAGCAAAGATCACTCGATATGATTTTAAGACACATAAATAATGCTAAAGAACATTACTAATGATAACAAAGTATTTATGACTAAAATGCTTCCAAAGGGCAGGCTCTTACTAAGCAGTATGATGAAGCAATAAAAAATATTAAAAATGGTATGGCATGAAGTTATAAAAGGTTATTTTTTACCAGAGCTTTTTTATCTATTTTCTCCTTCTCAAAGATACTAAAGAATTCAGAGAGTTGAAGTTTCTTCAGATCTTCCTCTATTGTCGGTGTGTCTCCTTGATCCATATTTGGCGAATCCTAAAAATTAAATTATAAAGCTCATTATTCTCTACATTCCTTATATTTTCCTTTATTAATACCATTTTACAATAAATATATGTACTAGCTAAGATTTCCACAGAAATGTATCTTAACTTTAAATTGTGATTTATACAAAATATAAATTAAGAGGTGCTGATCTTTAAGTTTCTGCAACTTCATTTGAAACTTAATATGTTTTAAAATAAATGAATGAGTGAATAATTATCAAAGCATTGTTCACTATCATTAACAAAACATTTACTGAGCTCTTATTAGGGATATAGTCTAAGACATAAAACAATCTAAGGCAAAGCGCCTGCCCTGGGAGAACTCACAGGACACTTGCATCAAAAAGAGAAAAAATATAAGACAGTTTTGCTAAGTACTAACTCAGCACTAGAGATAAGTGTTCAGAGGACTTTATTTTACTAAAAGATGTTTAAACACTAAGTCCTCCCACTGCTTTCAAACAATTACTATAAATTATATCAATCTGTATCTAATTCATTCTTAATTTATCATATGCAAACTCCATTTCAGCTCAATTTTATAATTCTAATAATAGATCAGTAGTACATACTTATAATGGAAAATAAGATATGTATAGTTATTTTAGACTGGCAAATATTTCTAGAAGTGCATTGCTATCTTGCTTCTATCATCAAAGAATGACAGAGATAATCACAAGTCTATTAAAATAAATGTAAATTTGAAGTTATGATATGAGACTAAACTAAGTGAAAAAATCCTTACTAAGCAAAGAGAACCTATCTGAACATCTAAATTACCTTTTTACTGTCAATATCCCCCAAAGAATCTTTCTGATTTGTTAGGATATCAAACAATATAAGCGAACCTATAAGTAAAATAGAAGAAAGAAGGGACAATTTCTAAATAGTTGTCTTTTATACAAAAAAATAATAAGTCAATTACCCATGTAGCAAAATCTATGAAGCAGGGAGTCTTCTTTCCACTCCACCACCACCCTTCCAACCCTTTCCAAATTCTTCATCACAGACCAGTTCTAGACCTCTGCATCTGATACTGATAAAAGACATTGTTCTTCAAAAACAGGTGTCCTAAAAGTGTGATCGTCCTCTGGTTACAGAGAATTCATTTGTTACCTAAACTATGACCAGCAATGGATACACCCCCTTTGAAATCAGGGTTTCTCTGCAGAAAAAGTGTATATATTCGGTTCATTTCAGAAGCAACTGTGTCCACAATAGTCTGACAGTAGGTGGGGCTATTGTAGAAGAAGACATCCAGAATTGTGTCATTGGTGAAGTGCCTTAGGCGATTAATGCTGGGCAGGGTTATTCTCTGTAGATCTCTGAAAAAAAGGAAAGATGTTTTAAGCAGAAAACCAAAATACACCTGGCCGGAGTGCTCAGTGGTTGAATGTCAACCCATGAACCAGGAGGTCAGGGTTCGATTCCTGGTCAAGGCATATGCCCAGGTTGCAGGCTCCATCTAGGTAGGGGGCATGAAGGAAGCAGTCGATCAATGATTCTCTCTCATCATTAATGTTTCTCTCCCTCTCCCTTCCTATTTCTGAAATTAACACTTGGAGTGCGGGAAACGAGTTAAGTTGGCTCGCGTGAATTGCGCGTACTCCGCGGGAGCCGTCTTTAACTCGGTTCATATAGATTTGCGGTGGAGTGCGGGAAACGTGTAAACTCGGGCCGATTGTAACTGCGTATTACCAAATATTTGTTTGTAATCCACCCTTTTGGTGGATGGAACAAAACCAAAAGACAGAGCCATCTTATATTTTGGCGGGAAATTCACCCGCACTCCAAGTGTTAATAAAATATATTAAAAGAAAAAAGAAAACCAAAATACATTCTGTAACTTCCTCTAAGTTATCTAGCTTAGCCTCCAAGTTTAGACTTAGATAGTTAAAGATACAAGAGGCAATTATCAACTTATAGGAAATAGAGGACAGAGAGAAAGGTTTAATGAAGCCAAAGGGATGTGATCAACAAAATTCAGAAACAACTCAGTTTCTTCAATACATAAATTGCAAGAAAATAACAGATGGAAAAGTAATCAAGAAATTAAAAGAGACTTAAAAGGCATCCTTGGATTCTAGCTTAAACTATGTATATATATATATGTATGTATGTGTGCATTTGTTTATTAGAGAGAGAAAAACAACATCGATTTTGCGTGTGAGTATGTATATATTATGTATGTGTGTATATATAAATCATAAGATTTATAAAATTGGAAAATTGAACACTGTATATTTGCTGATATTAAGAATTTTTAGGTGTGAATAGTATTACGGTTATATTTTATTAAAAGTCCTTTAAAACATACAAACTGAAGCATTTATAGAAGAAATAATATATCTGTGATTTGACTCAAAAACAATATAATGGAGAGATGGGCAGTAGACAGGGGTATGTTGACAGGGATAGGGCCAAACTGGCAATGTGTTGAGGCTTGTTGGGAATGGGTAATCATAATCAGTACAGAAAAATTCATCATATATGCTACTTTTGTGTAAAGAATTCTCTGTAATAAAAAGGATTTTTTTAAAGACAAAAGAGCCCTGGCTGGTGTGGCTCAGTTGGTTGGGCATTACCCCATGCATCAAAAGTCTGCCGGTTCTATTACTAGTCAGGGAACATGCCTGAGTTTCTGGCTCGATCCTCAGTAGCGGGCATGCAGAAGGCAGCTGACAATGTTTTGCTCTCCTATCTATGTTTCTCTCTCCAAATCATTTTTTTTTCCAATCATTTTTTTTTATGTTAAAAATACAAAAGATACAAGAGGGTTTCCCCAGAATCCTCAGCATTAAAGTTGTTTGATCACAAGCCAAATGACAAATTAGATCAGCTCTCAATGTAGAATTTCTTAAAGTTGAAAGAAGCCAAAGGCAAACAGAACTCATGTCTCGCAAAGGAAAACCATGCTGACATTTTCTAAATCAACTTCCAGTTAAAACTTTCTCAAAATTCCCAGAGAAATTCCTTAAAGATTCAACAGTTTCTGTAGTTTAGAGAGGGCTAAATGACCTTAGTCACCTCTGAGCATCAGCTTAAATATGATGTGAACGTCACACCCATTAAAATAAACACTACAGTGGAGCATCTGGCACATGGAATATGCTCAAATCCTAGGTCATTAAGAACTTGGGAGACACAGAATCAGGGAAGCCATTTCCAAGACCAGCATGGAAATAATGCTGACTACTTTCTTTATCTTCTAAAGAAGCATCTCCTAGTTCTATCTCCTAGTATGATGAACATACTTCTTTCTGGAGAGCGCATAGCTGAATATCCTTAATATAAGGCAATCTTCTCTGACATTACCATAAAATTTACAAACAAAACTATTGGGCTTGTAACTTAAGAAAACCATCACATAAAAGGAGTTGTACCAATTATACCCCAAGGTATAAATGCTAATAATTTAATGTTTGGGGATTTCCCTTTTTCCCAAATTGGGACAAATATTATCTAAATATGGTCATAAAAGAAACAACAAAAGCCCTAGCTGGTTTGGCTCAGTGGATAGAGCGTCGGCCTGCAGACCAAAGGGTCCCAGGTTCGATTCTGGTCAAAGGCACATGCCCGGGTTGCAGGCTCAATCCCCAGTGGGGGGTGTGCAGGAGGCAGCCGATCAATGATTCTCTCTCATCAGTGATGTTTCTATCTCTCTTTCTCCCTCTCGCTTCCTCTCTGAAATTAATAAAAATATATTTTTAAAAAAAGAAACAACAAAATACTATATACATCTTAAGGTAGGTGGACTTTTGACATCCGAAGATGGAAATGTTTATACTCTATAGGGAGAAAGCAATGTTTGGCTTTAATGCTAAAGAAATAAGAAAAGCTGTAATGGTAAATACTAATGAGCCAGTAAAACATACTAGAAAGAAAATACAAACAGCTCTTTATTCCTAACTTGGACTAGTTAAACCAAGGTACTAGTTAGCATTTATTATTATTTTTTAAATATCTCTATAATTGATTTTAGAGAGAAGGGAGAGGGAGAGATAGAAACATCAATGATGAAAGAGAATCATGGATTGGCTGCTTCCTGCACGCCTCCTACTAGAAATTGAACCCACAACCCAGGCATGTGCCCTGACCAGAAACTGAACAGTGACCTGGTTCATGGGTTGACACTCAACCATGGAGCCATACCGGCTGAGTGGATTATTTAGGATTTAATAATGTATCTCTAAAAAAAAAAAGAAGTACAAAAATCTTTTCGTTGAACAAAATTTTAAATATACAATCAGTTATTGCAGAAATGTCCCTAAGCATTTTAATGATCAGAGAACACATTACAATCACGGTTGGTATTACTTACACATCCACACCAGTAGAATGCAAAGGACTGTGCCAGTTGACTGGAAGAAATTCTATCCTCCCAATCTGCTGATTTTCTTGGGCTTTCTTAAAATGCGTTTGTAGCAGGTTTAAGGAAACACTGCGAAAATCATTAACTGAAAAGAAAATGAACTTATGCATCAACAGTGAAGCAATGAATTTGCAATAGATCATATAAATATAATCTCTATCTACATTTGCTTAGAACATGCATTTACTTGAGTCAAAAGTAGCAAAGTGGTATTCAAAAAAATTATGAATGCATATAAGAAAAGCTGTTCCTTTAATACTTGCTTTTACTATACAATACTAGTATATTTCATCAAAGAAAAAGCTAACTTCAAAATTTCTAATGTGTCATGGGAACTGTTTCAATTTTAAAAAGAAAAGAAAAATGTCACATAACTTGCAGTCAGATTCCAATTCTAACTTTCTAGTTCTTACAAACAACCACTACCCAATATTTTAGATTTTAAAAAAAATACACAGCTGTTTGAAATTCATATTATATCAATCTTAACCTTCTAAGAAGGGTTAGGCTTAGAAGCATCAGCCAGTAGGATAAGTCAAAATGGGACAATTAGACTTTAAATACTATCAAGTTTTAGAGGACACTACCTTTCAAGATCAAGTTATGCTAATAATCTAAATAGTCCAATTAGAATTTCAAGAGGTTTATCACAGTATGAATTACAAAAATGACTGGTTTCTGTTATTCATTTAAACTATATCATCTTTACAGTTTCTTTAAATTTGGAATGGTTAGACATAGGATTATCACATCATAAAAGCATTTTAAAGGATTAAAGGCTTATTCATTCAAGAATTATTAGTTAAGAGTATAAACTATTAGCCTACGGAATTCACTAGTACTTTATGCCTCAGGTGGGAAGCTTTACTATCTTGCCACCTGTCTTGAGCGCTCCAAATGTTTTTATGCAGCTGGGATAACAGACTAAAGACAACATTTTATTTCAGCTCACAGGAGCACTGACTAATATTCCCCTTAAGTGACCTAATCTTACATGCTTTGCAAACCTACCACATTGTACAATGCTTCGAAAGCGGAGATCACAAGCTGGTCCAATCCCATGGACTACAAAAACCAAATGGTCTATTTGTAAAGGTTCCCCTTTAAATGAAATTAAAAAGAAAAATTATTCTACAGAACTAGTCCCATATTCTAAAATCAAACATTCACAATGAATGGGTTATAAAAATAAGCAAGTTGAAATATGAGCAGATAATTTAATGGACACAAAATAATCCTGCATATAACTACTTAGTAAAAGCACAGTGATTTTACTTTGTTTCTAATTTATCTTAAAATAAGTCTGTGAAAAAATTTTCACGTTTTTAAAACTTTTTACTTTGAAATAACTGCAATCTTACAGAAAACCTGGAAGAATAGTACAGAAACTCACATGTACTTTTTACCCAGATTCAACACTCTAACATTTACCAATATGCTTCATTATGCATACATACACATTTATTTTTCTGACCAGTTAGGAGCAGGTTGCATACATCAGACTGCACACATCATACCTCTTAAACCTTTAATATTTAAATGTATATTTCCTAAGAATATTCTCTTGCATAACCACAGTGCAGTTATTGAATTCAGGCAATTTTTAACATTAATAAATAATCTCACCTAATATTCAATTTTTATCAATTGTACCAATAATGTCTGGCATGTATTTGAAGCCTAAAGTTATAAACCCATCTTTTTAATTATAGTATATCTAAGACTTTGTGCAAGAGACAAGCTATCACCTCTGCAAGATAAAAAGAATTTTGTAATCCAGTTAAATACATTATAAAACTAAACATAAACGACCCTAGATAGCAATGGATAACTATCAAGGTTGTACTGGAAAATACTTTTCCTTAGTTGAAAATCTTCAACAACAGGAGTTACAAGTACTAAATTTCTAATCAAACAGGTGGAATCATATTTCTTAGAATTAGGACTAAGTCAGTTCATCTGTACTTAATGAATTTCTATTAGTACTGCAAAATTTTATCCATCCTACTATACCTACTTAGCAACTTTAAAAGAGATTTCTCTACCTATTAAGATTCGTAGTAGGTGAAGTGATGCTAATATTAACTCCAAATAAGCTCATATAATTAAAGATCATGTTTAAGCCTTGAGGTACTCCAAAACCATAGAAAAAGGTCACAATGTAAGCCATAAATAAATCAGTATATCAGAAGATAAGAAAAAATTTAATAATTAACATTACCACAATGAATGTCAACAGAGATGTTCTCAACCCCTCTCTTCACTGTTCTTGGTCGACCCTGCTCAGTGGGTGTGGAACCCCATTCATCAGACCCTGCAACTGGCTGGTAATGCACCATAAGCTTAAATAGAAAAGATGCCAAAAACTGTTTAATCCTATAAGCTATTTTCAGCACATACCACTGAATCTTTTCTGGTTCTATAGTAGTTTAATCAATAAAATAAAACATTCACAATGAATAGATATGAAGATATTCTACATTAAAGACATCTCTATACAATGAGTAGCAGGAACATGTTTTTCAAAACATAATACATAGTCAAATCTCAAATGGAGTTCTGATATGCAATTACTACAGTTGGAAATGAGAACCCTGAAAATATATTTGGCTAATGTTGTACAATTTAAATATCTTATGCCCGGTTGGGTCGCTCAGTTGGTTGAGCATCGTTCTGTACACCAAAAAGTTATGGGTTCAGTTCCCAGTCAGGACATGCACCTAGATCAGTGATGGCGAACCTATGACACGCGTGTCAGAAGTGACACGCGAACTCATTTTTTTGGTTGATTTTTCTTTGTTAAATGGCATTTAAATATATAAAATAAATATCAAAAATATAAGTCTTTGTTTTACTATGGTTGCAAATATCAAAAAATTTCTATATGTGACACGGCACCAGAGTTAAGTTAGGGTTTTTCAAAATGCTGACACGCCGAGCTCAAAAGGTTCACCATCACTGACCTAGATTGTGGGTTCAATCCCCAATCAGGGCATGTACGGGAGGCAGCCAATGGATGTTTCTCTCCTCTCCTCTCCTCTCCTCTCCTCTCCCCTTCCCTCCCCTCCCCTCCCTTCCCCTCCCCACATCCTCTCCCACTTCCCCTCGTGCACATGGCTGTATATCTCTTTCTCTATATCTCTCTCTCTCTATCCTAAATCAATAAAAATATCCTTGGATGAGAATTAAAAAACTAAAAACATCTTATAATTTTGTCAATTCTATCTCAATAAAGCTAAAAAAAAAAAGAAAACAAACATCAAGCTAACAGACTTTCAACAATAGCCTACACATGGAAAAACATGCCACATAATGTATTAGTGATAGTCTGAATTTACAGAGGCATAACTTTCCCTAAGAAAATATTTTGTATAAAGTGAACAGGTAAATAAAAATGGTAGTGGCTACAACTTTTAAGTTTCATAATTGTTCACATAATATAAAATTCCCAAAGGTCATCCAAAGAAGAATTCCTAAGAAAAAGAAACCAATAAAAGTTCTCCTTAGTAATGCAATTAACTTTCAATCCCAATATTAGAGAAAGGCTTTTTAATTTGCTTTACCTTTGGATTGTGTAATACAATAATTTCTCTGTTGGGAGACTCCAGTTTCTTTTTCCAGTCATCCTGAGTTACAGCAAGCATGTAAGTTTCCTTAAAAGAAAACACATTTCATTACATTTCTCTTATTGCTTTCCTATTAAAACTAACCTTATTCAAGAGGATACTACTAAGTAAACAATTACAATAAGAATATCCTATTCCAATTAATTGAATTCATTTTTAAAATTACAACAGGTAATAGTATGGGACAAAGAAAAAAAATCACTCCTAGTTCCATCATCTAGACTGAAGATAAATAGTTTTCACATTCTGATATATTTCTTTCAATAATATTAATGCATGTATATTTTCCATAAAATTAGGAATATATTACATATATAGCTCTTTCTCTTGATTTATCAAATTTATTTTAAAATTCTTTTTAAATGCAACATTAATAGTATAGGACAAAGAAAAAAATCAATCCTAATTCCACCATCTAGACTAGAGATCATCATTGTTCACATTTTTATATATTTATTTCAATAATAATAATGTCCTACTTTAAGCAAATTTCAGGCAGTTTTCAGAGCAAGAAAAATAAAAGGCAAAAAGAAAATCCTGTGGTCATAGTTTAAATATTAACAATAATCACCATTAGGGAAAACACTTTTTCATTTAAGGGCATAACAACTTCCATAGTATATTTTAAAATCTGAAAATAAAAACTTTATCCTGAAACTAATTTGCACAAAGAAAGACTATAAACTGTGTGCAGATAGAACCAAACTCTTCCTGAAATTTTCAAAACAATATAAGTCATAGAGGAAGAAAAGATTAAGTAAGAAAAAAAATAAAGAAAATTAGTTTAAAGGGGTAAAAGGAATACCTCTAATACTTGGCTGAAGCTCTCTGAATAGGGAACATACTTATTATCTTTGTCTCCCTTGTAAAACCAGGTACATCGTCTCACTTCTGATGCTTGCTCATCCCAATACACAGCAAACCGCATCCTCTCCCCCAAATGAACGTCATACCGGCCCCCATCGGTGGGGACAACTTTCCCATTACAATCTTTTCCTATCAAGAATTGAGAAGAGGAAAAGAAGTACATATATAAAAATAAATCTCCCGAAATACAGTTCTGAGTTATACTCTAAATAACGTCAAGAAACACATGAATGAACATTTTCTACTTGGATAAACATTAAACAAAATGGAATTTAATTGCTACCTTCCACTATTTTACAAACCATCAAAACCATTATTGGTTTTAATGAAACATGAAAAAAATAATACCCAAACACTGTTCTGTTCTTTTTCTGAAGAGATAGTAGTGTCCCTTTTAAAAAAAAAAATGTATATAGCCCTCGCCAGTTTGGCTCAGTGGATAGAGCATCAGTCCAAGAACTGAAGGGTCTTGGGTTCAATTCCAGTCAAGAGCACATACCTCCGGGGCGTGTGCGGGAGGCAACCAGTTGAGGGGTCTCTCTCACATCAATGTTTGCCTCTTTTTGTCTCTCCCCCTCCCTTCCACTCTCTCTAAAATCAATGGAAAAATATCCTTGGGTGAGGATTAACAACAACAAAAATGTATTTAAGCCTGGCCAGTGGCTCAGTGGTTGAGTGTCCACCTATGAACTAGGAGGTTGTGGTTCAATTCCTGGTCAGGGCACATGCCAGGTTGCTGATCAATGATTCTCTCATCACTGAGGTTTCTGTCTCTCTCTCCCTCTCCCTTCCTCTCTGAAATCAATATATATATATTTTAATGTATATAAGACAGCTTTTCTGAATTTTTCCCTCGAGGGACCAAAAGGTAAATTAATGACCATGACCATCATGATGATAAAATAGTAACTAGCATCATGTTTCATAAAAGAAAAAAACAAGTGACAAATTAAAGAATTCATTCTGTTACAATGTGAATGTGACCCCCCCACACACACTCTTTTTTTTTAATATATTTTATTGATTTTCTACAGAGAGGAAGGGAAAGGGATCGAGTTAGAAACATCAATGAGAGAGAAACATCGATCAGCTGCCTCCTGCACACCCCCTACTGAGGATATGCCCGCAACCAAGGTACATGCCCTTGACCGGAATCGAACCTGGGACCCTTCAGTCCTCAGGCCGTCGCTCTATCCACTGAGCCAAACCGGTTAGGGCCACACACACACTCTTTATAAACAAAAACTGAAACATAACCTAGAACTAAGAAATATTATTGGATAACTATGCAGAAATTACAATAGGTACTGAGATACAGACCAAATTCTTAAACATTATCAATTGTCTGGGTTACTAGTAATGCAGAGCTTCTGTATAAAAACGCTATAAGGGATACCTAGGGGGAAAAAATCTAAAATTTACTTTTAATAGCATTCACTATAAGGACTAATATTATAGTTTGAGAGAGATGACATTAAGTCTTTGTCTATGATAGGTCATCATTTTTCTCCTACCAGAGCTATATGCTTCTTCCAGCTGCTGTGAATCCTCAGAGTTGAAAGGAATCCATGTCTCCTTAGAATCTATTACTTTACAATAAAACCAATGAGGAGAAACTGGTTCATACAAACTGCCAGCATCCATGTCTATCAGCTCAAAGGAACTACATGAGTTTGGTGATGGGGATGGATCTGACAAGTCAACTGTTTCTGGTGTGATTCCACTGATGACATTTCTCTCTCTAAAACACAAGATAAAAGAAAACTATCAGAAAAATTATATTCCTCCTATTAACAGTCATTTCTGCAAAACAACAATAAAAAAACAGCGATCTAGGGGGGTTACATAATTTAAAATAGCGATTAATTTATTTTATATTAACAGCTGGATGGAGGGGTGGAGAGGAGAGAGCTTTAAACAAAATGCTTCTTGTAGTCAGAGCAACCACTCTGTACTGATCTCCCAGTTCTCAGAAAACTGCATGGTTTTAGACAAGTTATAAAACAAACCCAGAAGCACAAGAAACACATGGTCAAAAACTTGATTGCAACAAAAACACTTTAACCCAATTTCCAATCTAAGTCTGGTGCCAAAGGCAAGAATTTTGCTCCCTCTTAACGCCTACGTGGTAGGCTCCAGGCCCCCCATCATTACCCATTTCCACGATTAACTGGAATCTTAAAATATTGAAAATAAAACTATTCACTTAAGAACCAGTCGCTTTTCATTGATCCTTGAGGTGTGCCGAATTAGGGACTCCGATACAGATTCTGACCGCAAACAAACCCTCGCCTGGGGCCACTGTGCGCACGCGCGCGCCCACTGACACCGTCCGCGTCCCAGGTAGAGTAACAGGTGACCTCAAGAGCCGCCTTCCCTTAAAAGCCGGACCGACGCGTCTCTATGCCTCCAGCACGCGGAACACTCAGCGCACCCTGCAGTGCAGACCTGGGGAGTGTCCTGCGGACCCCCCGACCCCCGCGGAGCGCGCACGACACCCCCCGCTCGGCCCCGGCGCAGCGGGTGGCCAACACCTGGCCTCCGGAGCGGACGCTCCCCCGGCGGTCGGCCGCTCCAGCTCCGTGTCCCACACACATCACCCGGCCACCGGGGCGTGTCTCTTCGGCCCCAGGAACCTCGACGCCTGCAGCCCAGATCTCGGACCTTGGAGCTCGGGGACAGGTCTCCGACCGCCGCCGGCCCCGCCGAGAGGAGCGGGGCCACCCATGGAAACAAGGCAATTTGGGGCACAGTCGACACCAAGGGCCACTTCCCTGGAACCGAAATCACCCCCACCCGGCCGGGTCCTCCCAGCACCTCCATTCCCGGCCTCGGGCATCGCATCCTCCGCTGCGCCGGCATCTCCATCCCCCGTCTCCATCCCGCACCTCAGTCGGGCCTCCCGCGGTCCACCGGTCCACCGCCCACCCCAACTCGCCGTCGCGTACTCACCCGGCAACCTCGCTGCCTTTCACGCTCTCCTGCCCTCGCTGAGGGGGACACGACATAGCCCCGCGCGGCGGCCTTTATCCGGAGCCCGGGCGGGGTGGGGCGGGGCGGAGCGGGGCGGAGCCTGCGGCCTCGCCAGGTTCGCGCCCGACGCTAGGCTCCACCGCGCTCCCTGCGGGCGAGCGGCGCACCAGGCTGCGGAGAGCAAAGGTGAGGCGGCTGTGACCCCCGGCGCGTACACGATGCGTGGGACGAGGAGGGCCGCAGGGGTACTGCCAGAAAGTGTCGCGAGAGGTGGAGGGAATCGCGCGAGATGTGGCTCCTCCCTGCGGGCCGAGAGCCGGAGCGCGGGGCCGCTGGGCGTGCGGGTCGTAAGTGCGCGGTGCCCTCCGCCCTGAGCCCGCGGGCGGTGTGAGGCTGGAGGTCAGTAGGCGGCTGGGTTGCGGAAGAAGACCTCATAGCTGTAGGGCAGCCCTTGGCACTTCAGTTAGAGGAAGGAGGAAAGCCCAGCCCTCTCACTTAATACTTGGGAAGACAGGCCGCCTGCCCAGACACTCTGGCTAACCCTTACCCTACTGATGGGCCCCCAGGGGTGGTGCGGGAAGTCACGGGAGACGCAGGGTGCCACGCCCTTGGTGAAAAATAGGACGATAGGGCGCCAGCAGCTATGTCTATCCGGACTTCCACTTCTGGGTGCTGGGGAGAACGGATGCCATTGGCACTGGCAAGGATAAAGGGTTATCTCTAGGCTAGGGCTTGGCCCCCGCCCCCTTGCATTTATTTGGATCTAGGGGCTGCCAAAAAAGGTATCTCTAATAGAGGTAGAGGTGAGCTTGACAGGATTTAAAAGCTGCAAGGGAGGTTGGAGACTAGATATTTTTGTTCAAACAAGATGACATAAACGAAGTGAAAAGTTAAACGAATTTCCCACAGTCATGAAGCTGAGCAGTTATTTCTCTGGAAGACCTCAACTCCTTTGGGGTAATAATTGAGTATTCTAGGGCAAGGGTTTAGGTAACATTAGGTAATGTTTTTCAGTTTTGTTTTGTTTTTAATATGAGAGGAAGGGAGATATCAATTGGCTGCCTCCTGCATATTTCCTACCTGGGACTGAGCCTGCAACCCCGGCATGTGTCCTGACTGGGAATAGAAACAGAGACTTCTTGGTTCATGGGTCCACGCTCAACCACTGAGCCACACCTGCTGGGCATCAGTTTTGTTATTTCTTTAGACACTGAGAAAAAGAAAAACTGAAAGAGGAAAATTTTATAGCATCAATTATCCTATAGGTTCACAGCCTCACATATATATCAACAAGTTTATACCTTCTCAAATTTATAACACCTAAATAACTTCTGTTCTCTACGGAGAGGATGAAGAAAGCCAGGACTGCACCCCATTCTCTAGGATCTTGTCAGATGATTGGCTAATATAATAAACTAATAAAAATAGTAACTAGCATTTACTGAGCTCTTACTATGTTGTAGGCACAGGTGTAAAGTAAGCATTTTACAAGTATAATCCCATTTAGTCCTCAGAGCAACCTGATGAAGTAGATACTATAGTTTCCCTATTTGCAGAGGTAAAATGACTTACCAAAAGCCATACTACCAGCAAATAGAGAGCCAAAATTATAAAGTCTTGTCTTCACAGCCTGCACCTAAATAACTTACCTAAAATCAGAGTAATTTAAGTGACAGAACTGGATCCTAAAGAGTGATGTTTATGTACGTTGTACTTATAACTATTAACTATACTAGAAATTAAAACTGAGAAATTTAAAATTTATTTATTTTAAAATAACATTTTGTGTAAATATTTTTATAGAAAAATAACTTTTTCAAGATAACTTAAAAATCATAGAAAAGAATGATGTTGCTTCACATTTTCATAAATTTCTTTAATGTCTGGCTTAACAGAAAACCATTGGATTCTCAAATTTGCTTCTGCATTTAATCTATTACAATTTTAGTTTTGAAGTATATGAAGACAATCCAGCCTCACTCAACTATGTAGTTGGAGAAGGAGAGTAATTTTCATAGCCTTTTCAGGTAATTGTAGATATTCTTTTTAATAACTACACTAAAATTCAGCAAATGGTAGCTTCTTAAAAATTAGTTGCAATGTGAAATCTGAAAATATATCAATGAACTTTTTGTAGTACTCTAATACATTAAAATCCATTGGTCTACCTCGCACTTTAAATGGATCTTTTACCTATAAACTATTTATGACATGTGTTGGTGTCTTGGAAAATGCCAGTTCACTTGAGCTATGCAGTCTTCCAAATGTTACCAGATTTCATTATATATTTTTTAAAATTACCACCAATCTCAGAAAAATCTTTTAAGTATTGGAAAGCTGTCAAGTTCATAGCACAGCAAAGTTTTCCAAAATTCTACTCTTTTCTTGAAAAGGTCAGATTTTACCACTGGCAACAAATACTGTCCATTGTTTTCCTTGCAGTGACAAGCTCACTTTGTTTTTGTGGGGATTCAGAAGAGCCATCCCATGATGTGCCTTAAGTGGTATGTGGATTATTTTTGAGCTAAAGGCAAAGGAGATCTTGTGGGCTCAAGAGAAACTTCTTCCCCCACACCCTTCACTATCTGGAGGACTTTGAATGAGAAGCCTTGCCCATAATAAGAGATTAACAGGGATAACCTTTTTGGACCTACTTATATGGTAGGACAAACTACTAATTACTGAACATGTGCTCTCCCTGCAATGACCTTCTGAAGCCCCAAGGTGCCTTCCCTGATTCCTACCTCACATGTTTTATATATCCATTTTCCCTTTCTGTTTAAACCTCTCATGTATGTGGGGTTCCTATGCACATGAAAGTAAATTTTATTTTCTCTTGTCAATTTCTTCTTGTTGATTTGATTATTCAGCCAGCCAAAAGAGCCAGAGGAAGGAAAGGGGAATTTTTCCCTTCCCGTATTTTCAAGAAAAGTTCTGCCAAATACCTAACAATTGCAATAGCAAGTCAAATAAGAGTAGCTGGTTCAGTTACCAATTCAAATAATCAGTCAAGTGCTTTTTCCTCAAGAGACCAGCATACTTCAGAAGGTGGAAATGTTTTATGCATATTATTTTGTCATATAGAATATGAAAAAGCATGAACCTAGGGTTAATAAAATTAGTTTTTGCTGCTTGATGAAGAGTATTCTTAAGTGAAACTGGTACTGTTTTTTATTATGAATGCACAGCAGTGGACAATTTGTGACTGATAGTACAATTTGTTTCCACTGCCTTAATTCCTGCCTAAGGCGCCAGCAGTTTTACCCACCAGTACCTTTGTATCAACAGAGGGGGTGGGAAAGGCAAATCATGTCTTAGTTATTAAGGAATAGTTTGCGATCCCTGAAAAGGTTTCTACAACCTCACCCCCAGAGTCCATGGACCACCCTTTGAGAACTATAGCAATTAAATGTGCCCACCCTGGGGCTTGGGATATAAAAGTATTGAATAATACAATACCTACTCTGAAGGAGTTTACAGGAGAGGCAAACAGGTAAGCAAAGAAATATATCTTGTTGAATGCTATAACAAGCAGGGATCAATTACTCTTTGATTACAAAATAATCAAAGACCACCCTTGCCTCCAGAAATTTTCTTTCAGTGAGTCTTTGGTGGGATTCAGGAGTCTGCATTTTAAACAAGCACTACAGATGGTTTAGATGCAGGTAGAGTGAGATCCACACTTTGAGAAACATTGCCTTAACCAGTATAAATTTCAGGTTCCCAAGAAGGCCCAGTAGGTAGTATCAGAGATAATGTCTTATGGTATATCTCTCAAAAAACACTGCTTAGTTTCACTGGCTATTGTTTGCAGCTAAATAACAAATCTACCAGCAAAACCCTGGCCAGTGTGGTTTGGTTGGCTAATGGCTCCGTGCACTGAAGGGTGGTGGGTTTGATTCCTGGTCAGGGCACAAGCAGGAGGCAACCAATCGGTGTCTCTCAGCAAAGACTTAAAAGGTAAAATCTGAAATAAGCTCTACTTTTTCCCTTTCAATTCTCTAGTGCAGGGGGCCAGATAAATATTTTAGGCTCCTGTGGGTCTTAAGGTTTCTGTCATAGCTAATCAGTTCCCCTGTTGTGGCCAAAAGCAGCCAGAGACAATGAGTATGTTTTTTGAGAGATACCATAAGACATTATCCCATTAAAACTTTACTTACAGCCCTAACCGATTTGGCTCAGTGGATAGAGCGTTGGCCTGCGGACTGAAGGGTCCCAGGTTTGATTCCGGTCAAGGGCATATACCTTAGTTGCGGGCACATCCCCAGTAGGAGGTGTGCAGGAGGCAGCTGGTCGATGTTTCTCTTTCATCGATGTTTCTAACTCTCTATCCCTCTCCCTTCCTCTCTGTACAAAATCAATAAAATATATTTTAAAAAAAAAACTTTACTTACAAAAACAGGTTTAAATTTGGTCTCTGGTGGTAGTTTGCCGACTTCATGCTCCAGAGCAAAAATTAATGCTAATGGCCAATAAGTTGCCTAAATAGCAAAAGGAAGAATCTGAGGGTCAAATGGATTTCATATCCAAAGTTGGAATAATTTTAGGCATCAATTTGAATTCTCATTTCTTTCCAGAATAAACCATATTTCAATATTCTAAAAGTATGTGTTGAGTGCCTATCAAGGTACAAGGATACATAGTTTTTAGAGGCAGAAGTCCTCAGTCCCTGGTAGACACTTAGACATCCAGAGTTGAGAAAACTCATCTCTGATGCTCTGACTATAAAACAAGACCAGGGCTTTGGGCTGTGACAGGGCTTCTCAAACCCTAATAAATGTTTGAATATGCTAAGTAGATTCTTTAAAATGTAGATCTTTCAGATCCAACACTCAGACGTTCTGTATAATTAGAGAGGTCATGAATCTACATTTTGATCAAGAATATACAGGCTGGCTCTGGCTGGTGTGGCTCAGTTGGTTGGGCATCTTCCTGTGCACCAAAAGGTTGCTGGTTCGATTCCCAGTCAGGACACATGCCCGGGTTATGTGCTCGATCCCCAGTAGGGAGCATGCAGGAGGCAGCAGATTGATGTTTCACTCTCACATCAATGTTTCTCTCTCTCCCTCTCCCTCTCGCTCTCTAAAAATCAATTAAAAATTATTTTTAAAAAGTATACAGGCTGCGACAGAACTTGGCTGGAGATCCTGGCTAGAGAACCTGGCTAGGCTGCTGATCAACTGAACGCTGTCTCCGTGTCATTCCTTCTTCGCTGACTCCGTCCACACCTTTGGGAACCCCTGGACCTGCTGGGGTTGGACCCCAACAAACAGCTATCATCCAGAACCACGGGAAAGCTGGCTGAGTGGAAGTTCTACAACTAGAAGGAAAGAAAGAAGCGCATTGAGACTGAGTAGGAGGTGCAGAGGCGCAAAGAACAGAGATTCCAACCGAGAGAACATGTCATTCAGATTCGGCCAACATCTCATCAAGCCCTCTGTGGTGTTTCTCAGGACAGAACTGTCCTTCGCCCTCGTGAACAGGAAACCTGTGGTCCCAGGGCATGTCCTGGTGTGTCCCCTTCGGCCAGTGGAGCGCTTCCGAGACCTGCGTCCTGATGAAGTGGCTGATTTGTTTCAGGCCACCCAGAGGGTCGGCACGGTGGTGGAAAAGCATTTCCAGGGGACTTCTCTTACTTTTGCTATGCAGGATGGCCCCGAAGCCGGACAGACAGTGAAGCACGTTCACATCCATGTTCTGCCCAGGAAGGCTGGAGACTTTCACAGGAATGACAGCGTCTATGATGAGCTCCAGAAACATGACAGAGAGGAAGCGGACTCCCCAGCCCTGTGGAGATCGGAGGAGGAAATGGCAACAGAAGCCGCGGCGCTGCGGGCCTACTTTCAGTGATGCAGGCATGAAAAGCAACTCGAACAAATCCCAAGGCATAAGGAAATGGGCCTGTTCTCAGGACTCTGCAGCACTGGAAATGAAGCCAAGCAGACTTTATTACATCCTCCAATTCGGCAACCTTTTGCTCAGCATTTTATTACCCTGCGGAAGCCACCCGGTTATGTTTCAATCACGATGACTGACAGGCTAACTTCAACACCACGGCATCGGCAGCCCTTCTGCCCTCCTAAGTCTGCGCCCTCAGAACAGAGCCCTTTCTAAATTGTCCCTGGGCCTGGATGGAAATAAAATGGCAGTTAAGATATTAAAAAAAAAAATTAATACTATGGGACACGGGAAACCTGATAACAGTAAAAATTATGAAGGTGGAGCCCTGGTCAGTGTGGCTCAGTTGGTTAGGCTTTATCCCATGCATTGAAAGTTTGCTGGTTCAATTCCCAGGTTTCCAGCTGGATCCTGGGCGGGGGATTCTCTCTCATCATCGATGCTTCTATCTCTCTCTTCCTTTCCGTTCCTCTCTGAAATCAATAAAAATGTATTTTTTTTTAAAAAGTATACAGGCTGCTACTGTGAGGCAAGGTGCTTAAATCAGAAACACAGAAGACCTGAGCTATAATTTCAGCTATACCACTTACTTTGTTTATAAAATCAGAATGTTAGAACTAGAAGAAAACGTAGACATCCAGTGTGATATTCTATTCCATCCCAAAGTTGGTGGTTTTCATAAGTCCATAACCATTAATGAAAAGGCATTTTATTACTTTATTCGGTGCAACTGAATAGTTCCTGCCCTCAACTTGAATAATCTTAGATTTTTTTACTTTGAGGAAAGTAATTTATACTTTCCTAATGATTTCTCTGTCTTACTTCATTGAGGGCTGTTTGTTTTGAAAGCTGGTAACTTCAGTTAAATGGTACAGCAAGGTGGCTTTCCTCTAGCCCATGGAGGTTTCCATCAAGCCAAGTCCTCTTGGCAGCGGTGGTCAGACTGAGCAAATGTAAATGTAGCACATGCAACTGTAAAGTATAACACTTTCAGAAAAGAAAAAAAAAAAAAACCAAGAGCAAATCTTCAGGAACCTTGGGTGAACAAGGACATCTTAGAGACCTGGCAATCCTTAAAAAGGAAAACTGGTAAATAGGATTTCACCAAAATTTGAAAGTTTTGTTCTGTAAAAGACTGTTATGAAGATGAAAAGATGCCCTGGCCGGTGTGGCTCAGATGGTTGAGCATTGTCCCATGCACCAAGAAGTCGAGCCAAGTCATAGATTCCATCCCTGGTGCAGGATGTGCAGGAGGCAACGAGTGGATGTTTCTCTCTCCCTTTTCCCTTTCTCTAAAATCAATAAAAACACATTTTTTTTAAAAAAGATGAAAAGATAAGCTATAGACTGGGATAAAATATTTATAAACCACATATCCAACAAAGCAGTCGTATCTAGAAAACAAAGAATTCTTAAAATTCCACAATGAAAATACAAATAATGGACCCCTAGTTTGGTTTTAATACTCTTCTTCAATAAGAAGAACCAGGCCTTCTTGGAGAAATAACTGATTCTACAACTAGAACAGGAAATACACAAGATGAGTCTGGAGAATCTTGTAGTGCTAGAAAGGAAGGAAGGACTTAAAGAAAAAAGCCACACAATGAGGGGGCATGTCAAAAGGACACAACTGAAAGAGCTCCCAATGGCCAAATCAAGACAATATAAGTAACAAAATAAGGTAGTATTAGATCATAATACAAAGTATAAAATAAATGAGTCCATATTGATATAAATTATTGACTAAAATAAGTGAGAGAGATTAGACAAACCTCCCTTGCAGGGAAATTCCAAATAATTTATGTAGATAAACATTCACCAGGATGTGGAAGCTAACTCCCCCACTCCTTAAGTGTGGAACTGCATATGGTGACTTTTTTCCAAAGAGTACAGTATTGAAAAAGGGGGGGTGGGGAGAGCAGCTTTATAGTGGAGAAATCTAACAACACTACCTCAGCCAGGTGATTAAGGTTAGCATCAACAGCATAAGTTGTGTTGACAGTATATACATCTGTTATATGATGAGAAGGGCACTTACCTCTGTGGTCTTCCATAAACCCACAGCCCAAGTGTAATTATGAGAAAAACATCAGACAAATCCCAGTTGAGGGACATTCTACAAAATATCTGACCAGAACTCCTTAGGACTGTCAGAGTCATCAAAAATTAGAAAAGTCTAAGAAACTGTCACATCCAAGAGGCTTCTAAGGAGATGTGACGACTAAATGTAATGTGGTATCCTAAATGGATACCTAGAAGAGGAAAAGGATGTTAGGTAGAAACCAAGGAAATCTGAATATAGTATTGACTTTAGTTAATAAGAATGTATTGATATGGTCCATTAATTGTAACAAATCTACAAAACTAAAGTAAAAGTCTGTAGTATATCAACAATTTCTCTGTAAATCTAAATATTCTAAAATAAGTTTATTAAAATAAGTCCAGTTACAAAATGGGTAAAGACACACACAGGCATTTTATGGAACAGAATATACAGATGGCAAATAAACATATGAAAAGATGTTCAACATCATTAACCATTAAGGAAATGCAAATTAAACCACAATGAGATATCATTACACACCCATCAGAACGGCTTAAAAAAATAGTGACACCAAATAATGGCAAGGATGCAGAGAAATTCATACATTGCTGGTGAAAATGTAAAATGGTATAGCCACTCTAGAAAAGTTTGGTAGTTTCTTTAAAAATTAAACATGCAACTATCATATGACCCAGAATTACACTCCTGGGCATTTATCCCAAAGAAACAAAAACTATGTCCCACACAAACCTGTACATGAATATACATAAAAGCAGCTTTATTTATAAGAACCTCAAACTGGAAACAACCCAGGTGTCCTTCAACAGGTGAATGGTTAAACTGTGCTACATCCATATCTCAGACTACTCCTTGGCAATAAAAAAAAGTACTGATAGAGGAAACAACTTGGCTAAATCTCAAGAGAATTATGCCGAGTGGAAAAAAAGCCAATCTCTCTAATGTCAACATACTGTACCATTCTACTTACATAACATTCTTGAAATGACAAAATTTAGAAATGGAGAAGAGATTAGTGGTTACCAGGGGTTTTTAGTATGGTTGGAAAACAGAAGCAGGTGTGCCTATAAAAGGTCAAGAGGAGGAAAAAGTGTGATGATGGAATTGTTCTATATCTTGACTATATGAATGTCGATATCCTGATTGTGACATTGCAGCAAGATTTGCAATATATTACCCTTGAAGAAAACTGGGTAAAGGGTGAATGAAAGCTCTGCATTATTTCTTGAATCTGCATGTGACTTTATAATTATCTCAAAATAATTTTAAAAATACAGTAAATAGTCCCTTCTTGTCCACAGTTTCACATTCCATGGTCTCAAGTTACCAGTGGTCAACCAGTGTCTGAAAATATTAAATGGAAAATCTCAGAAATAAACAATTCCTAAGTATTCAACTCTGGGCCTTTCTGAGTAGCATGATGAAAACTTGCACTGTCCCATTCCTTCCCACCTTGGACATGTATCACCCCTTTGTCCAGCATAATCCACACTGTACGTACACTACACTAAGATACTTTGAGATAGAGACCACATTCATGTATGTTTTATGACAGCATATTGTTATAATTGTTCTATTTTATTATTAGTTGTTAATCTCTTACTATGCCTAATTTATAAATTAAACTTTGTATAGGTACGTATGCATAGGAAAAAACATAATATATCTAGGGTTCGGTATTACCTGCAGTTTCAGGCATCCGCTGAGGGTCTTAGGATGTATCTCCCCTCACATACGAGGGAGCTGTTGTACTCCCAGTTACATTTGAATTTCAGGAAAACAATCCTTTTTAGTCCCAGCATGTCCCATGCAATATTTAGAACACACGTATACTAAAAGATGATTTGTTGTTTTATCTGAAATTCAAATGTAAGTGGGAGTCCTATGTTTTATCTGGCAATACTACTCGTGGCATTAGGCTACCAAGATAAATTATATATTGCAAAATAAGGCAACATTTAAGGGGTGGCTGAGAGAAAATGTGCACTGATCCCAGAAACCCCTAAATCCTCACTCTCAGCAGCTGGCACCTCCTCTGCCTCATATTTCATTACAGCAGATGTGCTACTATTGCCCACTACAGGAGAAAAGCCACATAGAATATATATAAAACCCTCCTGTTTAAACACAGGATTGAAAACTATCCAGATAATATTCCCTTCCCAATTTCAAATTTAAAATAGCTATCCCACTCCAAGAAAGATGATAATTAAAACAGGGTGTGTTTTCTAGGAATAATTTTGAGTCTCTAGTAAAGTAACACTATAATAAATACAAGCAAGAACTACTAGACATCTGAGAAATCTCTTTAACATGATAAAGATGGAGATAAAAAAAGAAAGAAAAGAAAGGAGCCCTGGCCAGTGTGGTTCAGTTGGTTGAACATTGTCTGGTGCACGAAGTGTCACCGGTTCAATTTTCCATCAGGGCACATACCCAGGTTGCAGGTTCGATCCCAGTCAGGATGCCTATAGGAGGCAGCCGACTGAAGTTTCTCTCTTCATCTCTTTCAATATCAATTGAAACAAGTAAAGAAAGAAAGAGAGGGAGGGAGAGGGAGAGAGAAAGAGAGAGAGAGAGAGAAGAGAGAGAGAGAGAGAAAGAGAAAGAAGGAAGGAAGGAAGGAAGGAAGGAAGGAAGGAAGGACCAAAGCTATACCTTAGGAAATTTCAGAACAGAGGGGACAAAAATATCCTAAAAGCTTCCTGAGAGAAAAAATTGGATTTTATACAAAGGATCATGAAAACACATTTTCAAATATGCAAGATGTAAAAAAATTATGAGCCCTGCACCCTTTCCCAGGAAGCTACTAAAGAAGAAGCTCTATGAAAATGAGGAAATATAAACTAAGAGAAAGGCTACAGAAAAAAGGAAACCAAGTTTGAGTAGAAGACCCAGAAGGAAAGTATGCACCAGGAACATACCAGTTCCCCAGTCAGAAGGCTCTAGTTATGTCTGAGCTTCCTAAGAGAAGACTTTTAGACAAGTGGTGGATGGTTTGGGGTCAAATTAATCATAAGTACATAAGCAAACAAAATAAAAAGATAAATTATTAATTCCAGGGAAAACAAGTTGTTCAGGAAACTTAAAGTCATCAGTTTACTACATGACTGAGCTCTGGTTATTTCCATAGTCAACAAAATTACCATATACCTAGATTGAAAGTCGAGGGGATAAGGACTGAGATGTGTGTATGTTAGGGGCAGAGAAGTAAACCTAAACTTTCCTCTATAACAGAAAATCAGTAAAAATAACCTAAGATTCATAAATCAAGAAAAAGCTGGAGATAAATTGAAAAATATGGAGATAAATTTTTTAAAACTCAATTGAAAGTGGTTTCTTTTGCAGAATAAAAAATGGGAGTGGGAACAGGAAAATGCTCCTTTTCACAGAATTGACTTTAAAATCATAACTTTCATAGAATTATTTGATTTTTTTAAACTCAGCTTTTTAGAAAGATGAAAAAGAAAAAAAAATCCACTCATCAACTATCCATCCCCAGAAAAACATTTTTTTAAATGCCAATTTAATCTATATTCTTAAACTTAAAAAAGAAAAATCTGCACAGTCTGGCAAGTGTGGCTCAGTTAGTTGAGCACTGTCCAGAACACCAGAAGATGGTGAGTTTGCTTCCCAGTCACAGCAAATACCCAGGTTTCGGGTTCAATCCCCGGGTAGGGGTAGGGACATTGCAGGAGGCAACCAGTCAATATTTCTCCCTCCCTCTTCAAAAATAAATAATTTAAAAATCCAATAATTTTTAAAAATTATTTTTAAAAAATCTGCATATCTTTAATAGTATTACATCAACCAACTAAAGAAGTACTTTTAAAACCCTATTTTAAAAAGCATTTCAAAGAATTCACACCAAAAATGTACAGAGAAGCATAACACATCCCTCAGATATTTCATTAGGGCTTATTTGTCTAATACTCATATTGGTGTTTATAATTAGAACAATAGTGGCTTATTATAAAGAAGACATAGTT